ATGAAATCACTGAAGTACCTGGACATGAGCAGCAACTTGCTGCGTCACGAGGGAGCTGATGTGCAATGCCAATGGGCTGAGTCTCTGACAGAGCTGGACCTGTCCTCAAATCAGTTGGTGGATGCTGTGTTTGAGTGCTTGCCAGTCAACATCCAAAATCTCAACCTCCAAAACAATCAGATCAGCAGTGTCCCCAGGGGAGTGGCCGAGCTGAAAGCCTTGAAAGAGCTGAACTTGGCATCGAACCGGCTGGCTGACCTGCCGGGGTGCGGCGGCTTTACGGCCCTGGAGTTCCTGAACGTAGAGATGAATTCGATCCTCACCCCCTCTGCCGACTTCTTCCAGAGCTGCCCAAGGGTCAGGGAGCTCCAAGCCGGAAAGAACCCGTTCAAGTGCTCGTGTGAACTGCGAGACTTTATCCGTGGGGAGAGGCAGTCCGGGGGGAGGCTGTTTGGCTGGCCGGCGGCGTACATGTGTGAGTACCCAGAGGACTTGCGAGGGACGCAGCTGAAGGACTTCCACCTGAGCGAGCTGGCTTGCAACACGGTGCTGCTCCTTGTGACAGCTCTGATGCTGACGCTGGTGCTGGTGGCTGTCGTGGCCTTCCTGTGCATCTACCTGGACGTGCCGTGGTACGTGCGGATGACATGGCAGTGGACGCAGACAAAGCGGAGAGCTTGGCACAACCACCCTGCAGAGCAGGAGGCTGTTCTGCAGTTTCATGCCTTCGTTTCATACAGCGAGCGTGACGTGTTGTGGGTGAAGGACGAGCTGATCCCGAACCTGGAGAAGGGCGAGGGCTGCGTACAACTGTGCCAGCACGAGAGAAACTTCATCCCCGGCAAGAGCATTGTGGAGAACATCATTAACTGCATTGAGAAGAGCTACAAGTCAATCTTTGTGCTGTCTCCCAACTTTGTGCAGAGCGAGTGGTGCCACTATGAGCTGTACTTTGCCCATCACAAGTTGTTCAGCGAGAATTCCAACAGCTTAATCCTCATTTTACTGGAGCCGATCCCTCCCTACATTATCCCTGCCAGGTATCACAAGCTGAAGGCTCTGATGGCAAAGCGAACCTACCTGGAGTGGCCGAAGGAGAGGAGCAAGCGTGCCCTTTTCTGGGCTAACCTGAGGGCAGCTATTAACATTAACCTGCCAATGGCTGATGGAAGGAGGTGTGAGGAAGCAGATTAAGCGTCTTTCTAATGGAGAATCTTCTGATTTTTCTTGCTGAAGCAATAAATACCTTATGATTTCCATTGGTTCTCAATGTATTTATCTTTTTGTTACATAACATTGTTTCTACGTAGTTGTCTATGCTATTTTTTGAGTGAGTTGAAGTTTACCTCCTAACTTTAGGCAAAATCAACTCACCTTACTGCAAGTCTCTTGGGATTGATATGGAAATAGTAAATCACAAATGAGTTTGGATTTGGGTTTTGAAATACAGCTTGAAATACTGTAGTGAATTTTTCTCAGCATAATAAAATCTAGAGCAGTTGGTATAGTCACGTTGAAGAGTGCTTGAGCTGCTGAAGAGTTTGCAGAGCTGCATTAATAACAAAACTTAGGCAGTTTGGTCATCGGACCAATTTTGCTAGAATGAGTTTGCAAAAAAGAAAATGATGCATCCTTAGATGTCTGTATGTCCAGCGGTTGAGATGGTGCCTGAGTAGTGTTTTCTGAGACTCAGTGAAGCTTAAGAACATAGGACCAAGATACAGGACTCTGTGAACATCCAGCACAGGTGGTCAAAACTGGCCGTGCTACCAAAGAGGACCGAGTGAGGAAAAAGTGTTTGTTTGGTTTTTTTTTTGTTTGTTTTTGTTTTTTTTTCCTTTTCCAATGAAGGCAGAATAGAAATAAAAAGGGAAGATGAGCTACTTAACCTTTTGGTGCTCATAGTTTGGTACTGCTGTGAGGGAGGAGTGAATTGGCAATAGGAGTTCTGATTCCCATCCTCTGATAGAGTCCTGGCACTGTTTTGGTCCTGAGTGATACCCTGACTAAAGGGACTGAGAGGGTATCTACTGTAACAGAACAGCCTTCATCACCATTAGCTGTATCTTGAGAAACTCTTGATTTCTCTAACCATGCTTTTTTTTAGCTTTCTACTTTTTTAATCCTCACCCAGGTATCTTACATTATGCTGTTTATTAAGAGAATTTGGCCTTTGCAGCTGAAACACTACCTTTTGCAGCCCAGTTACGAGTTGTGATCAGAAAGGCAATAACCAGGCATTTCATTCAGTGCTCTGGAAACAAATATTTTCTGTGCTGCTTCCTTCCTCTCCAACTAGTGCTTCAGTGTATAACTTATTTAACCCTTAGAAAACTGAAGAAGAGAGCTAGCTAAGTTTGCTTAACCCTTTCACACAACCAGGGACACCTATATTATTACATGGTGGCTCACTTGATAATGTTATTCAAAAGCATCAGAGTTGAAACTTCTGTTATACAGTTAACATCCCCTCTTGTATGTGAAGTTTCAAGAGCTCCTATGGCTTCTTCTGTTGGCTGGAAGACAGAAGCCCTCTGCAAGTCAGAAGGTACACCAGGAATCCTTCCTGTTACTCACGTGGGAACATGTAGCCATTGCCAGAAATTAATTATTTATTTCAGGAGTGGAAGGTTTGGACAGGGTTTTACTTTTTGGAAGGAACTTGGGAACTCTGAGACCTCTGGCTGTGTAGCTGATGTGATCATAAGCAGAGCTACATAATTACAGGTTTCTGGTGTATGTCCAAAATCCTTCAGTGAATAACGTTGGAAAGGGAGGTTTGCAATGAGCATGGGGAGTAATTAAAACTTGTAGTTCAGAACCAGAAGCCCACATAGTATTTGATTTTTGTCCATAATACTTGCCAAATAATTGATAAGGCAGTGAAGTACTACATGTAGTTTTCTCTGATTCCACAGGAGAGAATGAGTTTCTGAAATTATACATATAAGAGTATTTCAGAGAATTATTTTAGCCTCTCTATACTCTGAGCACTTCTGATAAGACCGGTGCCAGTCCACAAAGAAATTTTCCCCATACATGGGGCCATGTGTAGTCCCACAGCCCATGTCAGCCACTTTATCTGCACATTTCGAAAAGTAGCTGCCCATTTCTGTGCACCCTGCTGATGTGAATGTGCAACTAGCTCTGCACTAAAATTTATAACTGGTAATGTATGCCAGTTATCAGGAAAAGGGAGTGTGTAAATATATTCAGGTGTCAGATACCATATCGGAGCAGATTCTTGGCATTTAACTAGTCATCTCAGTGACTAGCAGGAATGGTATTTTTACATGCATGGTAAATCTAGGACTGATAACATAGGGGTTAAATACCCTCCAAAATGTGAAGAATTAAGTGAAAGTAAATGCTTTTATGTATATTTAAGTAGTGTGTGGTAAAAAAGAAACACACTGTGGCTTGCCCTGCTTAGAACTTGGCTCTTTTTTTAGCTTTAGAAATGTTACAAAGCATTGGCACTGAAGTTACTTACAGAAGGTTAGAGCAGGGAAAGGTGCATGAGGGGAAAGAAAGGCACTGTGTGGGAGGTGAAGGCATTCTGTTGAGGGGAAGATTCAAAATCTCTATGAAACCTGTGTTTTCACTCAGGGCTTCAGTTTGTCTGATTGTTTCTTTCAGAAACATTTACTGAGTTTGATTCTAATACTCATTTGTAGTCACTGTTATGTCAAGAGGAAGCAGTATTGATAAGCAGGTAAGCAAGAAAGTTCTGTATTTTGCATGGTTACGCCATATTACCAGTCTGATTTCCACAGCTTTGATCCTTGTGTCTGTTTACACCCAAACAAAATAGGCTTGTGCATAAATTCAGTACAGTTTCTGCTCACTTTGACTTGTGGTGGCATTTAGCCCTTGACACACAGGGTGAAGTTGTGATAGTGAGAGTTGCAGTTGAAGATAAGGTCCTTGATACGACCAAGCACTGGTTTTGCAACATTTAATAATTTTACTAACTTTTCATGGGTGCTCTGGCTATGTTTTAACTCAGTGTTTTGTACGTGTAAGTTCTCTTCTGCAGTTCCAGTTGGGGAGATTCTTTACACCTTTGGGCATAGTCATGGTTCTGAATAGCTTCTGATACCCAGCCAAATGTAGCTGCAGTTTCTGTCTGGGTGGGTAATCCCAACATACAGCCTGAAATATTAAATGTACCTTGAGGAAAGGCTGTTTGTGAAGACAGGTGCTCACTGATAGAATCAGCTGCAAACGCTCAAGCAGTATAAACTTCAGAAATGGAACAAGGTCTCTGCACAAACATATGTATACCAACTATGGGAAGGATGATACTCAGCTGGTACATTTCAGGGTGCACAAAGAGAAATACACCACTTTTTAGGTTTTGCCTATCGTACAAAATGACTTAATCAGTAAACTGCAAGCAGCCCCAAACAGCTTTGCTGAATTGATTCATAAAAATAACATTATGCAATGCTCCTAATGATTTAACACAGATATTTAGGAGTATGAGTTTTATTTTACCCAGTTGCAAAATTTTTGTTATGTCAAGCTGTTTATTTGAATGTATTTTGAAGTCTCATAAAGTAGGGTGATAAAGAAATTAAACGTGTAGATTAAAGGTGTAGATACTTCTGTGTTTTACAGGTGTGTGTGCACTGGAGTCAGTTCTGGTGAAAGCTGGTTTGTATCTGATTTTGTCCATGTGGCAAAGATTTTTCATGGATTACAGAAGTTCCCAGCAGTGGGAACTTCTCCTTTAGCTTGAAGACAAGATGGTATCAGCTGACAAGCAGACTTTTGCTGCTTCTTGAGAAACATTCACGATCACTGGCCTTGTCTTGGGTCACAGATGTCTCAAGAGTTTTTTGTAATGTTTTGCTCTGATTCACTGCACTGAGGAAAGCTGAATGGTTTCAGTTCTGTTTCAGTTCAGACTATCATAGTCATCAGTCTCAAAATGAAAAATGGAAGTCTTTCAGCAAAGCAGAGGGTTAAATTCCTCTTTACAAAATTGAAAACATAATAAAAAAATAAAAGTTTCAAAGGAATCTAATGTAAGCTTGAAGTATAGATGACACTGCAATCTAGAATAAATTTTCATACTTCTCAGCTTCTTTAGCTGAATCCCTCCGTGCCTTCAACTCTTCTGCAAGGCACTGTTTTACCGGGTGGAGTAAGTGCTAGTCTGAGTCCAGATGGGCCCAGGTGCTCCCCCGCTTTGCCCCAGCTTGCTCAGACCTGAAGAATTCATGACATACTTCATGAATTTAATCTTAAAATTCATTCAGATTTATGTAATCTTCATTCATTTACTCATCTCTGCTTCTTTCTTCCTTGCTAATTAATCCTTCTGAAGCATGCTGTATTAGCTTGGATGCTTATGGGAGTGAGGTTTTGGTTTTGGTTATTCATACCTGCATTTGCAATGCACTCACTCTCTGCTCTGTTGATTTGCTCCCTAGGCTTATGCCACTGTTCAAAACGCTAATTGAATGGCTACTTTACTGGATTCCTCCATGCCCCGATTACCCTGTATTGCTCTGTTCTTCATGGCTTCCTTGCAGCTTTCATATCATAGAGAATATTCTCTATAGTTAATTTTCTATGATTTTTGAAGAAAGCTACAATGTGAGCTATCCCTGATAACCATCCGAGACATCTCTAGTGTAAAGGTGGCAGACCTGTAAAGGTTTTGAACTGTGCTGTTTTGCCTCTGTTACTAGCTTTTGTGATCTAAGCTTTTGCCATCCTTTAGTGTGCTACATTAGTTAGTGTGTTTAGCTGAGGAAAATAACTTGGCAGGATAAAGCAGTGAGTTCTGCTTCCTCTTTTCTGTGTGTGCAAAAGAGGAGATAGAGTTGATGAATTTCTAGAGTATCTGCATAACTATCAGAAGCAGAAATGAAATTAGAAATGCAGAATTATTCAAACGGTCTTGCTTTGGTGAATGTTCTGTGCTGAAGATAGGTTTATTTCAACCTAAACTTACAATTATGTAAATATTACGGAAGTAAATGTATTTAGAGTCTGGACTGGTAAAAGTTTCTTTTCATTATGCTCTTAATACCTGCATGGGAGGGAAATTTCATTAATTCTTAGAATTGTATAGCCTACATGAGAAAACCCTGTTCTTTCTACTTCCTGAGGCAGAAATTATTAAGGAAATAGCATTTCATGTGAGATTCCCCAGCTGGAAGATTATGTATGTTTGAAACTCTGCTTTGAGGAAGCTAACCAAGCATGCAGAGGACTTCTGCCGGTTCTTCACTCGGAGATTAATTTCATGCACAAAAGGTGGGTTATATTTGCTCCATTGTTTACATCTTTTTGTTACATGTATTTTGGACTCCAGATCTCAGGTGCTGATGTTTCTTCACTGTTGGAGGATATTCTTGCATTTTGAAATGTCAGTGAAAATGCTCATCTGCATGTTGAATTTCAGCAAAGACGAAAGGGGAACAAATTGTTGGCATGATAATTTTCATTCTCAGCCAACTCTAATTTAATACCATCATAAAATAGTGTTGGCAGGGTAACCATTGATCCTTAATATTGCTTTGCCAGACATATCTGCTTTATTTTTTGACAGTGGCACTCTTCAGTGCTATATAGTGTGGATGATCCCTTGCCACACCATATAGCATAGCATGCATGGTAAATTGAAACTCAGCTGGCACTGGAGCACAGAGAGTATCTTTCTGTTTTTTATCTCCTTCACAACATTTCTTGCTTTGTTCCTGATGTCCCTTTTGTCCAAAGGGAAGTTCCTCCACATAGTTCCAGATCAAAGTTTATTTGATTCCAGAAGTTCTTTACCAGCCTGGAGTCTGAAGAACAGGGTCAACTCTCTGTGAAGGAAGCTGGGTCATATTTCCTTGTGCTTGTGTGTGATACTGTACTTTGACCAACCATCCCAGCTTCACTGTTATTCTGTGCTCAGGTATTCCAGCATCACTTTTTGAAGACAGAATTTGAACTCTCAATTGGATTCTTTTGAGGTAGAAATTTATACTTTACTGATTTATTCTTTGATATCTTTTGGAGATGTTAATGACACGTGTTCTTCCTTAATTAAAAGTTGATTAAGCTTGATAGGAGACTTGGAGGATAAGAAGACTTCGAGTACAGATTTGATACCAATTTTGATATTATGAGTCTGTCTTAGAGCTGGCTGACATTGACTTTGTTTGACATGGGGGAAGCTTCTAGCAGCTTCTCACAGAAGCCACCACTGTAGCCCCCTCTAGCTACCAAAACCTTGCATTCAAACCTTGCTTGCGATAACAGTATAATTCCTCCTCAAGATTCTTGGCTTACTGGAAAAATTGACCCCTTTGTGCTGTAACAAAGACAAAGCTGAGCAGCTTCTTTAATCAGCTGACCCCGAGGAGGTACATGGTCATGCCCTGGGTCTTTGGGGCATGAAGAGGAATATTCTTTGGCTCTTCTGACTGAAGAAGTTGCTTTTCGACCACTTTCTGTGAGGGTCCATGGGGCTTTTGAAGTTTGGTCCCCTAAAGTGTGGGGGTATGGGGTGTACAGAAAGAGCAGATTGGAGACTTGTGTTCTCCTTTACTCCTAAATACATTAATGTCTGTTTGTACTGGTTTTAGATTTTTCAAGATTGTTGAGAAATTTTTATTGCTTAACATAACATTCAACTGATTGTATACCTCCCATTATAAGGGAGTTAATTTCTACTGAGATAATCGATGATTGGCATTAAAGAATGGGGATGAGGAGGATTGATAAGAACTTAATAAGATGTAAAGATTAAGATTAAGAACTTAATAATATGTAAAAATGAAAATCCTATTGCTTGCCTAATTTTATATTGAATTTTAATTTAGCAATAAAAAGCATAATTCAATGATTCAACTATTTTAGCAAATTCGGTGTGGTTTTTTTTTCACAGGGCTGGACTCATCACCGAGACGTATTGAATAGAGAACAAGGATATGCTTCTGTGTAAAAAACCCATATAAACCTGGAAAACATAATGGGACCCCTCACAAATAGCTATGTCTTTGCTTGTATCTTTACATTCACGCTATGTAATAATATCCATCCAACTGTGGAAAATGAATTTATTGCAAATTATTCAAGCAGTTTGCTAACTAATGTTCCAGAAAACATTCCAGTCCATACTCATATATTAGATTTGTCACATAACAGGATCTCTGGACTTGGTATCTCAGATTTTATTTCTCTTTCTGATCTTCAGGTATTAAATCTTTCTTATAATCTAGTTACAGAGCTTAACTTCAGTGTCTTCATTTTTAATGAAGATTTGGAATACTTAGATTTATCTCATAATAGCATTTTGAAAGTTTACTGTCAAACTCTTGTGTATCTTAAACATTTAGATCTTTCTTTCAATAAGTTTACTGCCCTGCCCATCTGCCAGGAATTCGGGAACATGGTTTGTTTGGAGTATCTAGGATTAAGTGCCACAATGATACAAAGGTCAGACTTCAGGTATATAACACATTTGCAGCAGCACACTGTCTTTTTAACATTAGAAGACTTTTCCCTGTATGAGCCTCAGAGTCTGACAGCCGTGAACACAAGGAGCCTCCACATTGTGTTTGCAGCAAACCAAAACTTCAGTTTTCCCCTATTGTATGATGGAATGAGCACTTCAGAAAACTTAAAAATAGTTAATTTAAGATACACCTTGAGCTATAAAGATTTCCCCTCACCTTCTTTAGCACTTCTGAAGGAAATCAAGACAACAGCTCTCATGCTTGACACTGTGGATTTACAGTGGACTATAATTTTGCAGATTTTCCTGCTTATTTGGTATTCACCTGTGGAGCTTTTGACTGTGAGGAATTTGACTTTTCGGGGACCACTGGGGGAGCTGACTGAATATGACTTTCTACCCTTATTAAGCTCTATGGAGCAATTAATCTCTTTGGGTGGCTCCATGAAAGTACTAACTTTGGAGCATGTTCGTAATAAGGTTTATTATTTCAACCAGGAGATACTGTACAGAGGGTTTTCAGAGATGAATCTTGCCGGTTTAACAATATATGATGCATATATGCCACACATGCTTTGCCCCAACAGAACAAGCTCATTTCAGTATTTAAATTTTTCTCGCAATGCCCTGACGGATGAGCTGTTCCAGAATTGTGGCACTCTGACAGATCTGAAATTACTTATTTTGCAGAGGAATAAATTTGAGAGCCTTCCCAAGGTTAGCTTAATGACCAGCCGTATGAAATCACTGAAGTACCTGGACGTGAGCAGCAACTTGCTGCGTCACGAGGGAGCTGATGTGCAATGCCAATGGGCTGAGTCTCTGACAGAGCTGGACCTGTCCTCAAATCAGTTGGTGGATGCTGTGTTTGAGTGCTTGCCAGTCAACATCCAAAATCTCAACCTCCAAAACAATCAGATCAGCAGTGTCCCCAGGGGAGTGGCCGAGCTGAAAGCCTTGAAAGAGCTGAACTTGGCATCGAACCGTCTGGCTGACCTGCCAGGGTGCGGCGGCTTTACGTCCCTGGAGTTCCTGAACGTAGAGATGAATTCGATCCTCACCCCCTCTGCCGACTTCTTCCAGAGCTGCCCAAGGGTCAGGGAGCTCCAAGCCGGAAAGAACCCGTTCAAGTGCTCGTGTGAACTGCGAGACTTTATCCGTGGGGAGAGGCAGTCCGGGGGGAGGCTGTTCGGCTGGCCGGCGGCGTACATGTGCGAGTACCCGGAGGACTTGCGAGGGACGCAGCTGAAGGACTTCCACCTGAGCGAGCTGGCTTGCAACACGGTGCTGCTCCTTGTGACAGCTCTGATGCTGACGCTGGTGCTGGTGGCTGTCGTGGCCTTTCTGTGCATCTACCTGGACGTGCCGTGGTACGTGCGGATGACATGGCAGTGGACGCAGACAAAGCGGAGAGCTTGGTACAACCACCCTGCAGAGCAGGAGGCTGTTCTGCAGTTTCATGCCTTCGTTTCATACAGCGAGCGTGACGTGTTGTGGGTGAAGGACGAGCTGATCCCGAACCTGGAGAAGGGCGAGGGCTGCGTACAACTGTGCCAGCACGAGAGAAACTTCATCCCCGGCAAGAGCATTGTGGAGAACATCATTAACTGCATTGAGAAGAGCTACAAGTCGATCTTTGTGCTGTCTCCCAACTTTGTGCAGAGCGAGTGGTGCCACTATGAGCTGTACTTTGCCCATCACAAGTTGTTCAGCGAGAATTCCAACAGCTTAATCCTCATTTTACTGGAGCCGATCCCTCCCTACATTATCCCTGCCAGGTATCACAAGCTGAAGGCTCTGATGGCAAAGCGAACCTACCTGGAGTGGCCGAAGGAGAGGAGCAAGCGTGCCCTTTTCTGGGCTAACCTGAGGGCAGCTATTAACATTAACCTGCCAATATCTGTTGGAGCAGATGAGGAGCAGAGTGATGTTACTTCTACCAGTAGTGTAAATCAGTATGCGATTAACTGACTTGACTGTCTTGCATTTAATTGTGTTAGTGAGTTTTTTGTAGTCTTTTACAGTATCCCCAGTTAGTAGCAAAATGTAATTGTGATAAATACAGCAATTGCTATTGCTTATTCCTGGTTAAGGGTTGAAAGTCAGAGCCATTAATCCTTATTTAACGTTATTCTCCCTTCATTGCACTAATCATTCCCACTTACCTAGATTTACCTATCCAGTCATGATTTCATAGAAGCAACTATTCTTAGTCTTCAAAATAATAATATCTGAATTTATGAAATTTTTATAGTATGTTACTGCTGCTTTTTGCCATGATCATATCAAGCTATACGGGGAGCTCATTTTTCCTGTTTTCTAAAAGATAGAAGCTTGATGTTTGGAGATGAATCCCCTTTTACTTTCAATGAACTCTGTTGCTTTGCCCTTCCAGTCATCATCCATGTGAGAGAAAGCAGTTTTCATTGGTAAGTAACTTCTCTGCTAAAATCAATCTGATTAAACTAATGGTATTTGTTGATAGGCAACATCTAATAATTGTGTGTGGGTTTAATTTGACAATCTAATAAACCTCTCATTGTTTCTCTGTTACTGAATTTGGTGGTTTCATTTCTCTGGTGATGTGGAGTTGTGTAATTATGGCTCAATGGAAATGCAAAGCCCTCTGATCACAACCATGAGCAGCACATGTGGTGAGCAAGAAGGTGTGTTCCTTACCACTGGCAGAGGCGGCTGATCAAGCACCTGCCAGGTGTGTGTCATGATAACTAGATGAAGCAGTGGACAGGAAGCTATGAGAGAGCTTCCTTGTGTACAGAGGTGCTGTGACACTGCTGTGCACCCACTGACCAGCTCAGGTTAACTGGCTATCACAGTACGATGCCAGGTGCCTTTATCTCAATGTAGAGCTTTGTAAAGAAGGGATAAAATTCTCTAATAAGTCATAATTTCAGGTGAAGGGAAGTTAGCTACTGACCTCTGTGATAACACATAACTGGGATCTCCCCCTTGCCAAAGCCAGGTCCAAGCTCTGTGTACTTTAAAAAGGACTGCTAAGCCCTCTACTTCAGTGGGAGCTGGTGGATGTGGCATGCTTGAAAAGCAGGTTACTTTTGATGAGCGGGGATGTTCAAAGCCACAGTTAAGCCTAGTGCTCTGTAGGAGTTCAATTCAGGAAGGCTTTACCCTACCCTAAGAGTCACTTGTGCCTCATGGCAGCCCAACATGGTGGCCAAGGCCAGTTGGCACCATGGGGTGCTGCTGAAAGTGCATTGCACACCTCGTAGCCAGTCAGCCAGTTACAGCAGGCTGCAAGGCTCTTTCCACAGATGTAGTAATGTTAAGCCTGGGGCTGAGGCCTGAATGTGCTGCTGAAGCTTCAATATTTCCTTCTTATCAGGTTTTTCCCTCTGGGTGCAGGTTCTTCACTGTCTCTGTAACATGGCTGGCTGCTCTTAGGCAGTTCCCTGGGTAAGCTCTGGTGGCTTCTTTATTTTAGTTTCAGCCAGAGTGACATCTGTAATTTAAGGCTTATGTGCCGTAAGTCAGGTACTCAAGGAACAGTTTGTTCAGTCACAGAGGCCAGTGCTCATTAGGCTCATTAGGAGTTTTGTAGCCTTCACCTCTTCAGGGCTCCTCTGCTCTTTACAGTGAGAATGCTACCAGAAAACCTGTCCCCCTCCTTCCTGAAAGACTCCTCCTCTCCCAAGCGTTACTGTCTAAGGACATGTTCAGCATTCACACTTAGTTGCAATGTGTTAATGGGAACACATTCTGTCCTGTTTACCAGATGAGAAAAGAGGAAGTAAAATTTCTCAAATCGGGCTTTCCAGTCTCTGTAAATGTAATGCATCAGCAAACAGGGTTTTATGTCCTAAATAATGTACAGGGTCTGGGCTATAGAAGAGTCCCTCATCTTTAACACTGTTCTGAAACCTAAGTTGTAGGTAGGTGTGAAAGGAACAGTTTCTCAGGTCTGCCATCTATATTGTTTTAGGTCATTAACCCTGTAACACACCTTTATACGCTGTCCTTCCTATGTCTTCACAAGTCTTTCATGTGCATGCCAAGTATTTCAGTTATATCCATACTGCACTGTACACCGCAGCTGCTTAAAATATACTTCTGAGTTCCTCTGATAAAGCAGATCCAATCTGTTGGTCGTTGCTGGTTTGTTATTTTTCTCATGAGTTCTCTGTTGGAACTTCCTTTTTCTCCTTCCCTGAAGCTGTTTCTGTTCAGAGGATACAGAGGTTGTTGATTATTTGTGTGGCTGAACATAGCAAATGCTTTTCTTTGCTGTTTTCTATGAAGCAATGTGCTGTTAAAGGGTCTTTAAAAAACGTGTTCACAGAGATGCTTCTTGGGAAGCAGCTTGCACTAGTTACAGGACAGGAGCGTCCAGCTGAGCTCTTGAAACACTGTCATGCTAATGTCCATACTTGCAAGAACCGTGTGAAGTGCTGCTCTTGCTGAGCTCACAGGCCTGGAAGCACACACTGTGTTTGGCCAGGCCAGAGTTTTAATTGTAGAGGATATGTTAAAAGTGTCTTTATGGCTACAAATCGCAGTAAAGACGCAAAAAGCAGCTGTGAACCCTTGAGCAGATTTCCTGCAGGACGAGGATCTGACACAGTGACAGAAGGTCAGCAGAGGAACGGCTTTATTTCTTTACGAGAAAATAAGTATTTCCTCATATCAGTGTCTCGAAAGCCCAATTTTTGCCCTTTTCTCAGGCTGAGGCTGACGCCCAGTGGCCGATTGAAATATCGCTATTTCCTGAAAATGGTCGCTCATGCCGGCACACACACATCGATCGTGTTTTGCCTCTGGGGAAAAATGAAACAGGTGATCTTACCAGCGCGGCAGATGCAGGAACCCCTGGTAGGAGTGTGCGGGCTAAGGAAGACAGGGCAGGATAAGCCTTTCCTCATGGCATTTCCATGCTGGGTCGGTGGCTCAGTTCCCACTTCATCTGTCCTGCCGGCTGAGTATGCTCTGGAGTGCAGATACCGACTGGTTCACTACCAAATGAACCCTGGAAATCAACAGCATGATGTGAACAGAGACTCTTGCTTTACAGGAAGCAAGCTTTATTTTCAAGCAGGATGCCAGGAAATTCACGCCACCCATTTTCTCACATTCTGATTTCTGTTTGCAGGGTTTTGTTTTTATTGCCTCATTTCTGCTGTACCTGCTTTCCCTTCTGTATGGCACCATGACAGTGTAGGTGCAGACTGGGCTGATCTGCTGGGTCCCAGGCAGCAACAGACCAATACCCTGATGCAGGAATGGAAGGTGTTAAGAGATGCATAGTGAATTCAAGTGGGCTTATGCCTTTCAGGCAGCTGGAAAGGTGTGAATAAATAAAGGAACTTGTTTTGTCGGCTTTCCACATCGTTTCTCAGCAAAGCCCACAGGGGTGCCTGGAGGTGAGCAGGATTCGTGTACCTTGATGTGCTCGTGGCCTGTGTTATCTCTGGCACCCTGGCCTTGGCAAGCGCTGTGGCGAAGAGCATGTCTAAAGGAGGAGGCCCGGTGCTGAAAGTGATAAAAAATGCGGACTTGGGGGTTTGGTGCTCCAGCCCTGCCAATGGGCTATCAGAGTGCTGTGATTAGAAGCAAGTAAACCACTTTTGTGAGTTTGCCACAAGTACACTGCCAAGCACAGGAGCTAGGATCATAGAATCAACTAGGGTAAAGACCTATAAGATCAAGTCCAACCATTACCCCAGGGCTGGGAAGTCCATCACTGAGCCATGTCACTAAGGTCCTCATCTACATGGGGCTGGAACACTTCCAGGGATGGTTATTCCACCACTTCCTGGGCAGCCTGTTCCAATGCCTGACTAACCTTTTGGTGAATAAATTTTTCCTAATATCCGATCTAAACCTCCCCTGGCACAGCTTGAGGCCATTACCTCTTGTCCTATTGCTTGTTAACATGCTCACAGGCAGTGCCTGCAACACCTCGTGCTCCTGCCCTTGGTGGTGTGTGGGGCACTGCAGAAGGGCCTCCTGAAAAGCCAGGGCTGCCTGGAGCAGGCAGGGATCCCTGGGCATCCCTCTGGCCCTGCCCTGTGCCGTGCCTCTCTGTCGCACAGCGTATGACAACAGGACCACAGATGATACTCTGAGGGTTTTATTAACAAGCATAATACATATGCACTGTATACTAAATAGAGTATGAGGCCTGTACAGTACAACTTTATGTTCACAGTTCGCCATGACAAAATGTCATTACTGAATTCCCATTGGACTACCAAAGTAGAAACAGTGAAAGTACATTAAACATTCACATCTTTAGTAAGAAAAGATTACCAAAATGTCCTGTATTTGCAAGTGATAGTAATGCACACTAGAAACCTTTAATTACCCATTCAGTCTTATTAGCTTATAAAATATATTACACTTTATTTAAAAATGTCTGCATAGTTTATACAAGTATTAAGGTAAATAGAACACCCCTGCTGTCGCTGCAGGTGAGAGATGCTAGGCAGAAAGATTATTTTGACCCTCTAATATTAAAAGTACATTTGTTTAAAAGTGCTAATATCTGTAAAATGCAATGAAAACTGGTGTAGCCCTCTTAGGATAATGTAAAATGCTTTGCAATTTTGTTATAGAAAGGATTTGTATTCATCTACATGTTGCTAACCTTGACAGAGACAACAACATACTTGGACAAGATGTGACATTACAAGCATCGCTGCAGAACAGTGGTGTATATTTAAATAAACCCACAAACATTAATATCTGCTTAACTTTTTCTGATTGTCATAGAAACTTAGAAAATTATTACGGTTAAATGGCTTAAACAAGCATGTTTTAGTAAAGCAGTGCTACCTGTCACACACTGCAATACTGCTAGGGAAAAAGGTGGGGTTTTAAAATGTGCATGTTCTGCAGGATTAGGGTTTTCTATCTTTGTATCTAAACCGGTTTCTCTTCAGGGCAAGGACAGAAGGACTCGCTTTAAAAAGTGTTTACTTGTGTATATTTTACATGCTCCTCAAATCAGAGTTTGCTAAAATGAACCAATGAGCCAGTTAGGATGTAAGTTCACGTTTTCAGCAGAAAGATGAAAGCTTACTTGTTCGTGACTTCAACGCCCCAGAGAGACCCCACAGACACAAGTGAAAAATCCCACAAGCAAGGCAATTACATGAAATAATCTCAAATACTTGTATTTAATATTTAAATTTCCATTGTCCTGAATCACAAGGCACATAGAATCATAGAATAGTTAGGGTTGGAAAGGACCTTAAGATCATCAAGTTCCAACCCCCCTGCCATGGTTAAAGATGTTTTACAGTTCTATTGAATTGCCACTGTATTTGTCCCCACTGTTAGCATAAATATTGTCAGGAAAAAGGTAGACAGGCTAACGAATGGATATGGGAAACAAACTAGACTAAATTCTGCAAAGTAAGTCTCAGTTACAGAGAAGTTCTGCTTTTAGGGTACTTGAGATTTCTCATTTTTTAAAAAGAAAAAAATACTAAAGAAAACATTTAGTGAATGCCTTAAAAGACAAAGAGAGCATTGGAAAGAAATGTTCCTTAAACATCCCAAATCATATGCATTTGCACTCGTTATGCTAAAACCGGGACCAGTTGCCATGAAGCTGCTTATTTTTTATAGGATCCCATCTGCTTTTCTCCCTAGAACATAATAGACAATTGTTTTCATCCCAGGATACTCAATGTCTGTAGGCTTCTGCCTGGTGCTGCAGGGGCTGCAAGCAGCCTATCAGTGACGCGTTGGCACTGATGCAACTCCAGCAACATTCAGCACTTAGGGAAGGAGGCTGAGTCTGCTACTGCTGACAAGAGATGTCCAACAACCCCTCTGCTCTAGAACAGCTGCTCACTGATGTCGCTCTCTTCCTTGCAAGCTCCTCAGTGTTAGCAGCGACCTGGCCTATCCAAACCAGACCAATTCATCTGCCAGGTTGTTCAGCTCCATAGCCAAGCAGATGAGGGCCAGTTACAAGATCAATCTGGCGCAACTCCCTTCAGTCCTAGTGAAGCGGTGAGGTTGTACAGTGCTGTAACAGATCTTCCTCACAAAACCTTTGCAGCGATGTTCCCAGCCCTGCTTTGCAAACCCCTGTTCTCCCCTTCTAGAGCACACGTTCTATGCGTTAAGCAGAATTGCCAGTTCCATGTTCCCACATGTAAGATTTGGTAAACTGGAGCAATACTTTGTGTGTCACAGCATTCGCTGTGGGAGTGCTCCTCTCTGGAAGTACAGATCCTCTCCTTGATTCTACAGGCATGTGGATGTCAGCAGAACACTTGGTGGACTCCCATCAGCAAGGGAAGGCTCTCTGCACTCACACTCTTCCATCTGTGGGATTATCTCAGTTTGCCATTGAATGTCATGGGATGTATATATACCTGTTCCAATACACCCACCCACAGATGAACACTCCACCTGCCTCCTCTGGAAAGTCCTCTTCCTGTTACCCCTCCATTTTCCAGCAGATTTTTCCAAAAGAAACAGAAATCTGACTTCAGTATATTTAATTTGCAGGAAATGCTGTTTATCTTACGTAGGGAAAAGAACTAAAACGCACTGGTGCGCAAAACCCTAGAGAAATGCATCCCATTTCCTTGCAGTACCACAAAGTTTGCCGTCTAATAAAGACAGAAACCTTCTTTCAGTGGGCTCCCAAAGACAGGAACATTTCTAAGGTCAACTGCAGGTTGCTGGAGTTGTTTATGTTATCTACCAAGTTGCATTTGCTAACTGACCTGGGAGTTAAGATTTGCTGATGTGGCATTTTAATGCAATAGACATATCCACAGGGAAGCTTTGTCTACCTACCATTGACAGACTACCAGTCACGAATCAGAGTTATCAAATGGATGATTTGGTGCATGTTTTTATCCAAAGCAGATACACGATTCCGTTTATCATCAGAAGCACTTCATATGCGATGCCATCTTCTCATAAAAGTATTGTAGATTACTAATTTTACATACCGAGTGTATTAAACTGGCACTCACAACAATACAGTTCAGAGCACTTTGGATGCAATGATTGCTATTTTCTGAGGTACATCAAAGAGAAAAAATTATTTAGAGGAAATGTAGGGGAGTGATTGCACAGGGATAGTCTATATCCCTGAAATGAGGTGTGGTAGGTTTCTATGAGTATCATTTAATGCCGTATCATAGCAGAGTACCGTGTGTTGCATCCTTACACTTGCACAGAAACCAGACATACAGTGTCACACACGGTCTTCATTTAACAAATCAACCAGGGCATGATGCAACAAAAACAAGGATATATACTACACTATAATACAGAGGACAGAGGACATTGGTTTAGATGCACAGTATTATGTATGGAGCAATTCCTGTCAATTTTTCTTCTTCACTGAGGTAAATGATGCTATGACTCAATCTGTCTGTAAAGTAATTTCATTGCTTAGATTTATTTCTACGATGCTGTTCACTGTTTGGGCAGAGGGGACTTCTAAATCGGGTTTCTTTCTAGAACTGTTTCATCAACCATATTGCAGAACTCAACACGGCTGGGAGAGTCTATTCATTGCATTGTTGAGCATAAAATGATTGTATTCCTTACAGGGCACATAAATAAAAGTCTCTGGCAAGGACTAGCATTTTGAATATTCAATAACATTTACTACTTTATCAGTATATGCTGGGTTGATTATATGGAGAAACCAACAAAAGCTCTTAAGTTTACAAATTCCCTTATTCACAATGGAATACATTAAACATACTGTCTGCAGAAAGGGTTTGCTTAGCATCCCCAGAAGAAAGAAAACAAAAAGTGTTCACATTCTTTAGGTCTGACCCGTGGCAAGAACATAGAAGGGTTAGATAACATCTGTTACTGACCATAGGTAAGCTTTTAATGGTATAAACTCAGAGATTCAGTCCAGCTGAATCCAAAATAAAATGCATGTGTACAAAAAAAGAAGTGTGAGCGGAGTCAGGGACAGAAGACATTCAGACTAGCATGTGGCGTTTTCTGTGGAGAGCAAGGTGGTCCGAACGTGAAAAGCTACGGTCACAGTCTGGGCACTGAAAAGGTTTGATGCCGGTATGCTTGCGGAAATGCCGCGTTAGTTCATCAGAACGGGCAAACTTCCACGTGCAGCCCTCCCAAGTGCATTTGTATGGTTTTTCACCTGGAGAAAGAAACACAGAAGTGGGGATTTAAGACGCAAACACAGCAGTTAAATATCTGACAGGTTTATCCTCTTGCCTTGTCAAATTTCAGCAAGTACTTTAATGCTTACTCAAAACGCTGCCCTCCGAACAGCACCAGGCTGCAGAGCACTCAGTGCTAGGAACTGTCTAGTTGAAAGCAACAGATCAAAAATTGCTTCCTGCCACAACTTATTTTTTTACTGTCTCTCTGCTCCCCTCCTTGCCATATTAGCACTTGGTTTGTCTCACCAAGCCCAGAAGTGTGAAGGTTTATGCATCTGTTCAAGTGTTTTCAAAACCAGGACCCCATATTCTAGATTAGTTGGGGGAAAGGACTGGTGCTACCATTCAGCACAGCAGAGAGAGAACTTGTGACCTCTTAAAGTTACTGTAGTGTAATTAACTGGCACCACTATACCAAGTAGCTCAACTTACACCCTCTCTCAGCCATTACTTTGTAATACGTGATCCTTCTTCTTAATACCGTCATGCTGTCCCAACAGCTAAAGGGCTGTCTTGATGTAAGACAGACATGAATGGGGCTCCCTTTTACCTGGAAGTGTCCTGTATCTCTGTAAAAAACTTTGATGTATTCAGCAATGCCAAGATGAGTATTTCTACAGAGAACAGAGATGGGGATGTGTTTACTGGAACACTCACGCAGAAGAAGCACTGTTGAACCTGGTGCTAGCATGCCCACATGAAGCAGATGTGTTTGTATTTGGCACATGGTCTGGACTTTTACAAATGGGTTACTCCCATGGAAGTCTCGGTCAAATTTAACAGTCATGTAAGAGGTGAGGTACTGCAATTTGAACTGATTTGGTGTTTACAGGGTGTTTTCAGGGTGTGCAGATTGAGCAATCTGCAAGCAACTGGACAAAAAATGAGCAAAGAGCCAGTGAATGTAAAGCATACCCTCACACACCATGATCCTGCTTTGCCTTTACAGTCTCTTCTTGTACATCTTTCCTGCTACATCCTCCATCTTTTGCTCAGCCTACAATTACATTCAGAACAATGCCAAATCCAACTGCTGTCGTTCTATTTACATCTGGCCATTAGCACAAATTAAAAGTGTAGTCCGCCATTTTACAATAGACTTGATGAAAGGAAAGCATAGCAATGCTCAAACCTGTATGGGTTCTTCTGTGAGCTTTCAGATGGGAGCTTTTAGTGTAGACTTTGTTGCAGCCTTCATAATCACATCGATGTATTCTACGTTTTCTCTGTGTATCTGGAGATTCCACAGGTAAAGGTCTCTTCCCTGGCTGAACTATAACTGAAGGGTGATTCCTGCAAAGGCAAACTGCATGTTAAAAATGAGAAACATTCAGCACAGCAAACCTCAGCTCAGATGAGTCATGACAGAGCTCTCAATTCACTACCCCTCTGTCTCTTGGCAGAAAGAAAAACATTACATGCATGTCGAAAAATTCAAGAGGGTTTAGCAAATTTTGTGTATTCTAGCAGCAATGTTTCAAAATGTTTACTCACTTTATGGCATGATGTAGCCATTTTTACTACTCCCTAGCTTTTTTTTTAACCTTATAAAGGAAAAAACCATTCAAATTCCTGTTTTTCAGTCAAAGGCAAATTTCTCAAACTGAGTTCACAGTGCACTTTTCTTGTATTTGCTCACAATTTTCCCTCTTCCTTCCAATGCAACTAATTCGCTTGCAATTGGAAACAGCTATTCCATATTATTAAAGAAATTGTATCTTTAGGGTTTCAAAGCAGAACTCAAGTCTTTATTGTTCCAGCCACTCCTTTAGAGAGTAATTAAGAGTTTCCTGTTTGGTGCTGGCAGGAGGGTGCGGCCTCCCTGTACCACTGACGTCAATTCCTAAAAGCAGAGTTCAGCCTGAGTGGCACACCCACAGGATGTCTGCAGTTGTCCCTCCACCTTCACAAACACTGGGTTTTGATTTGAAGCCCACAGGTACGCTGCAGGTAAGACATGTACCAACTACATATGGACTCCTGTAAGAGACAGAACTATACACATTCACGCACGTGAAAACCCATCCAGCTTCTCAGTGGGTGGTGTTGTGGATATTCAGGTTTGAACAACACCCCTGCTACAGAACCAGGGACGACCTTGGTTCTTTGTTCCATGTCAATGTTAGAAAAGGAAATAAATAAGTTCATCAAAAAGGTACGTGGCATTACAAACCTTGTAGCCTCACAAAGCTGCATTTTTCTAACCATCAGCAGATCTGTATCAGCGCTTTTAATGTACTTGTTAGCTTTTAATTGAAACTTAGTATATGATGTGCAGGTATTACCATTCCTTGTTGCAAAACTAGCTCCTCCATGTGACAGAAATAAGCTTTCTAGAATTCCCATCTTTCCTCAGTTGCTGTATTTCACATTTCTTTACTGATCAAATTACATTTTATAACTATATAATGCACTAGGTTATATCAGTTACTTAAATCAAGTTCCTTTAGGGCCTAATTTTCAGAAACGCTGAATACCCATTTCTCTCATCAAAATGAAGGGCACGTGCTAAAGACAGAAAATCTGTGCATGGTTAAACAAGAAAAAAAAATCTGTTATTTTCCATCGCAGCAGGATGGGAATTACTGATGTGGGTAAAGTTAAATTCTGTCATTAATTCTTTTACTAGAGTTACAAGCTTCAAACTGGGAGCCAAATCTTCTTCCTTCGGAGTTTCTGTGGCTGTTGAGTGATGCATTCTTCAAGTGCATGCTAAATCTAGCTAAAAATACTGTAATGGCAGGAAACCCCAGACGGTGAGGCTAGACACAGATGTACATACTCTCACATGAGAAAGGAAAGCTTTTAGCTTCCAAATAAATGCTTCTCTAAAGCAATACTCCATTTTAACACTGTTGCATACTAGTCTTTTTGAAGAAGCTCTGGCTCAAGAGAGCAAACAGATCTGATTTAAATGCCTGCGTGCAGAGGCTAGTCTTGGACATGGTAACATCTGGAGAAAGGGAGAAAGAGGATACTGGCTGCACAAGATTTGTGATGGTTTTCAATCTAAGAGTGTGTAAAAAAAGTGCTGAGGATTTGTCTCTGTCTCCTTTTCCCTTTAGAGAAAAGGAGGGTGGCAAGACACAGAGTGTTATCAACAACCAGGCAGGGCATGGCAGCTCTAAAAAATGGATAATAAGGCAGTGTCAAAAATCAGAGGTAAATGAAGTAAGTGCCAATAATAAAAGCACAGCTCTAATTTTTTCATTCCCTCTTACGCAACCACATACAAATTCACGTAAGTCTAACCATTTAAGTATCATTATTTAATCAATAAGAGTATCTTCCAAAAATCATGTTAAAATTTCCTCCTCCTTTATCAACAGACCACACTATGTTGTCAGCTTAAGTTAGGCTTCAATACTTGCAAGAAAATACAGTATTAATGAGGCTTCTGATATCTGGTCAGAGATTACTACCTCAAGTTTGATTTTAGAAATAACTGCATAGTTACTTCTATTATCAGACATACTAGAAAGTCCAGCAATCCCACAAAAATGCCACCACCATCATATATACACACACACAAACACATATGTGTGTTTATGCCAAAAACTAACACTAAAGCTAGATTAGTCACTTAAAAGTGAGACTGAAAGTTTTCCTATGTCCCTTTATTGTAGCTCATTCGTGCACTTTGGGCAGTTGCAACCTATGAGAAATGCTAAAAAATCATTGCCAAACCATAGCTCAAAATGCAGAGAGGCTGGTGAAGCTGTGAGACAACAGGAAATTTTATAAAGGTCTAGGTGTCTCGCCTGCTAACTTGTGTGATTTGTCTGCCTTTTTCTTTTAATGATAGAAAGATAAAACCTGTTATTTACAAACTTCTTGTTGTGAATACAGAACATGAACTTGAACGAGCTGGCTTTAGGAACCAGCAAGAACTGCAGCTCTGCAGGACAGCTAGAAAGCAATTTAAGCCACTACCCAGGACAGGGTCTCCATAAACCTACTGCTCTGCATGGGCAAGCAGAGGAGATGCTTTGGGAACATGGACTATTCAACACTACCTACATGTTATACCGAATTTTATGTTCTTTGCTCAGCGGATGGGTTTCCTGTGGAAACTGGAGTCACTGGGAAATAATTCAAGTCACTAATGCAGGTGACAAGCCTGCAGAAGTCTCAGCCCTGGAAGGGTGTGGTATCAGCAAGGAACAGCACTTACTGGTTTTGTTAAAGAGGCCTGTAACAAAGAACAGAAGCAAACTGAACCATCTGATAGTCCTGACCTACCAGAAGTTAGTTTCTGACTCCCTTGTGTGGCAGGTCCATTACAGAAGATAAGTAACCTTCTAGTAAACACAGATGCTTACTATTTTATGTTTAGTGTAATAAAACATGTAAGGTTACTTTTAAATAAACAGCATACAGTTTATAAAAGCCAGCTGGCCACTAGCTGGATTGCAAAGAGCATGCATGCTACAAGCTGTATCTAAGTTGGTTATTAGAGACCTGAAACAAAGGAAGGGTGCCCACAAGATGGCTGTACAGAACGTAGTTAGCCCTGGAGTCATGGTGTGCCTTCTAATCTGGGATGGTCATGAGCAGGAGGACCTGGCTGACTTGTGACAGAACTGCAGAAGACCGCCTGTTGTTCCATGCTTTCTCCACACCACACGCTGGTTTTGGGAGTCTGACTTGGAGCCCTTTTTCCCCGCTCTAGGCAGTGAGGTCTCCTACAACTGCTCTGAGGATGATGGTAAGCAGGAAGAAAGGGCAGAAATGGATTATGGCATGTATTAGGTCATGTACCATTAGCCCAGCTCAGTTCCAAACTTCAGCTCTTGCCAGAGCCATGCCAGCAGCCTACATGCCTGTCCAGAGCACTGCCAGCGGAAGGATGACGTGGGCTCTGGGCGATCCCATGATTTTGGTTAAGTTGACAGAATTTTCCCTAGGAAAACAGGAAGGGTGCCCATGGCTCCTCACGTATTTCCTGAGAATTTTTTTGTATTTCCAGTTATACAGTCTCTGCCCAGACCTCACTTCTTTCTAGCCCTTGCTCCGCCGTCTGCAAACAGAACAGTTCTAATGCCTAAAGATCTGTGATCCAGTTCATGTAGTGGCCCCAGTAATAGTTGTACCAGCACAATGACTTGGTACCGGGGTGGAACTAAGTGGCTGGGAGGAAAGCAAGCTTCAGGAACTACTTGAGCTGCCAAAAAAGCCACCCACAGAACAATGGCCTCAGGTAAACATGGAATTTCACTGGATATATAGAGAAATTGTAGGCCTGAGGGGGTTCTTTCCACCACACAGCCAAAAGTTATTAAAAGACAAGTCCTCCAAGAAAAGAAAGTCACAAGAATCTTTTCAGAGAAAGGTATTTCAGGCAACACAGAGATCAGTAGGAAGTGTCTTTATAGCTTCTTTCGAGTTTGCTGCTGGTTTTACATATACAGGTATCACTGGCATATGGAGAGCCCTACCTTCAATGAACTGTAGGACTGATTATATAGATTAGAAACAGATTATATAAATGGCAGATCTATGGGGTTGCAATGTATAAATACGTAACAACTCCTGTATCGCTAAAGAGAGTTAAAAACAGTTGAAATCACATTTCACAATGGCAGTGGAGGGCAAAGGATGTTTTTCTATATTTTACCACATTTTCTAAAGCACAGCAACACCCGCTCCTGCTCCTCAAAACTGTTAACTGCTGCAATGGACCGCTTTTCATTCTTCTGCTGATGTTGGGACTACTGTTAGTTACTTACTCTTGCAACATTACTTGCTGGGGAGACAACGAGGTCATCATTGGAGGTGACATTTGTTCAGGGTAGAAGTCAGTCTTCTGTGGTTCACTTCCTGGCTCTACTTTGATTGTCTTCTTCAGCATAGGCTTCTCATAAGACTCAATGACAGGCACTGTATGGGGGAGAGTGGGAGAAGGCAGGGAACATTACAAAACCGTGGAAAATTGAAGAAATAATGTATGTAAAAATTGATAGTTAAAACCAAAGAAATCCCCCACCTCGATGTTTAGTGCAACAATTTATATTAAAGTACAAAATCTTCCAGTTTTAGGCTATTTCCTGATGAACTGTAATTCAAAACAATTCTATTCATTTTCATCAGTCCAGCATTTTTATCAGTCCAAATCTCAGTAGATAAACAGCTTTTGCAGGTATAAATCAGAACAGAATGCAACTTTGATTAAGTTTGATAAAATATTTATACAGTAAATTCTATGCCTGTACATTTTAGAACAACAGGAATTATGTTTCATTTCCTAGAATCTGAAAAGCACACAAACATTGCCTGGATATACAGTTATTTTCCCAGGATGAAATGGTGCAAGAAGAAAACTCTGACAGCACCAACCTGGCATACTACTTGGAGTTTCCATCTCATCTGCAAGAACTGTTGACACCATGATGGGCTGCTGAAGATGGGGAGCATACATAAAAGGAACTGGCTGGACCACAACAGGCTGTATAACTGGGAGTATTCCAGGGCTTCTCAGTCCGTGGCGTGAAAGAGCAGCGGCCATTACAGGTGGGATGGTTATTGGCATGGAAATAGGCTGTACTCCCGGGGGTGAAGGTGTAAATTTACTGAGAGGTGAGCTGGGTGAGGACAGAGTCAATCCAGGTGAAGCTCTCCTATGCACATTCTGGAATTTTAGAGGGGAAGGAGAACTTCCAGTTGAAGGTGGTGAGCTCCGTTTGTTCACCGTAAGGTCTACTGGCTCCATCTGGATTCCATTTGATAGTCCTTCAGGGCTTGAGTAAAATTTATTGTGCAACATACCCGGTGTAGAATAGATGACGCTGTACTTGTTTGGCTTCATTTGGTCCATGTAATTGGATGGGTATGACTGTCAGAAGTAGTGGAAAAAGAATGAAAGAAAATAATAAATCAACACACACAATTACTGCTGAAAAAGAACGGCAGTTAATAAAACTGAGCAAAATGAGAGAGTTTCAAGGAAGTACTTCAATGCATTTTCTAAATAAAAGTGAATTAAATAAAGCTTAAGATTTCACACAAGGGAAGTTATTCAAGTACTGATTCACTGTTTCAGAAGCACTGTAGAACAGATGATGAAAACAAATCCTTAAGGCTTACTCAACTCTTTCTCCCTTAAAAACTGGTTTTTATATACTAAGCTGCACACCACTTAACTGACCAGGGAGATACATGGTGCTGTGTCAGCATATAACTATATACCAACGATCATGAAGTCAAGCAAGACAGGAGTTAAATTTGACTTAGAATTGCAAGTAATGGGTCCCAATCAACAGCTCAATTGGTAAACAATCATCACTAAAGCAAGAAGTTTTGTATCTGAACCCTACAAGCAATGAAAAATACACAGCTGCACTACATAAGCAGTAGGTGAGAAACCCAAGGGTACAAAAGGTAAATTTTAAACACTGCCCCCCCTTTTTTTTCTTCTTAAAGGGATAAAGCAGCTAACCAGCTAGTCTGATTTTATAAAACTACTGCAAGGACAAACATTTGGTGTACTTGAAGAATATTCTTGTTAGTGATAGCTATCAGTTCTCTACAATATAAACCGGAAAGCTAATCCTGACCTATGTGACAATCTCCACATTTTAGTGGCAGTGATTTTTGCAAACCAAAAAGTACTCCCATTCGTGACAGAGTATAGTGTTATGAAACAACCATCCAGATCAGTTTTGCATTTGAAACTCAGCTGAAAACTGGGGTTGTTTGGTAACAGGTAACTTACAGTGGAAACCAATGTGATGTTCTAACACAGGAGACAGCCATGGGAAATGCAATCCACAGTTTCTTAGACTTTACAGGTTGTAAATTTTTTGAAACAAAATTCTGTCTTTGGGTCCCAGGTAAGTAAGAATTCACATTAAGGCTCAGCAGTTTCGCACTAATGTTAAAAACCTGCTAAATTCTTTGGCACCAAAAAGACTCTGATGAGGGGGTTTAAAGAAAAATTCACATGGTAAAAAGTGAAAGAGATCAGAAGTATAAACCCATTATTTTTTTATACAATCATTTCCATGACATTTCAATTATTTTTTCCTGGGATGAAAACCTGTAGCAATACATTTTCCTGCTTTCCCAACTGCGTTCCCTGTGAGAGCCAGTCAGTTGATTTTAAATGTCAATGTTAACTAAAAATATTTTTGCAAAACGACCCAAATGCATTTTTCTTCTTCTCAGTTACTGTCTGAAACAGTGAGTTTAGAAAATACTACGTTTTCCTCCTGCATTCATAACACTATGGTAGAACAGCAAAGCTGAGTCACCTATTCCATAAAGTGCTCAAGTAAAGAAGCATACACAGTGGTGATTAATCTTGAAACAGTAAATATTACATTAAAACCTCTGAAACCTTTATTTAGTCTCTTTCTGACTAATCTTACAAATTCCATCTATACCAATGTTCATCTTTTAACTGGTTCCTCAAAACTGTATTAAAATGTAATTACTGCAAGCTGTGCTGGCTAAAGTAAGTTCTACAGATTTGCCACCACTGCTGAGCTAAGCAATGAAATTATTAGCATTCTAAGTTATGAAGGCAACTGAATATTGATAAGAGTTTAATATTTAACGGTATTTAATATCTACTAAATCTGATCAAGTTACAGGCATAAGCAAAAAGATCAAAGTTTAAACACTTAGGAGATATTAAATACTTCTTTTAAAATTGTCATTTATTGGTTTTTAATACAAAGTCTACCCAGCTTCAACAAACTCTAAGTGTTTCACCATTCAGCATCACTGCATTTATAGTGCTGCAAGTTTGCCAGGAACGATCACAAGGTTACTGACTACAAACATTTCTTCCATTGCAAGAATACTAGAAAGGAAAAAGACTTTGCAATTTAAATCTTAGGGATTTGGGCAATGGGTCTATTAAAGAATGAACCATCTCCAAGCTGTAGCCTTTCTACACAGTTATCCTCTTCAAGTCTTCGAGTAACACCAGATGTGTTGAAAAAACATCAAACTATTAAAAAGTTGTGCAGACAAATGTAAACTAGAACAGTTAAGTAAAGCATGTTTAGACAAGCAAGACATACTTGAGTATTTTAGGGACTCGGTATTCTACCCCATATGCCTTGCATTATTTTGCATAGATGTTTGGCACAGATTTAACAGCAGCTAATTTTTCTGGCAGTCTGGGGAAACTAAATCATTTTCCTAAACTCCTCCTGTGATCTGAATTGCTGTTTCTGTCTGAACTGCAGATAAAGTTGCGATAGAAAAATGCAGTGTGACAAATTATCTGTTTTGGGAAGAAAAAGGGTGAAAAAGTTAAGAAGGATCCTAGAACAATGAAAAGGCAACTATCTGCTGTCAGTCAGACACTGTTTGGTGGAAAACTTTTGCTTCACTGGCAATGAAATGTGGTTGAAATCCTGTTTGTCTGGAGTTAAGTCACACTTAGATCTATGCCCTGGTTCTGAAGCTGAGCTTCCTGTATCTTTTTAGCATAGCAAAGGTTCTGTTTCTAGACCCTTGGGACACAGCAACTGCCATGAGGTTGACTGTTTTCAAATTTGGTAAATCACTTTCCCTTTCTTTGCCAGGGAAGTATCCCATTGGGCATACAGGATGGGAAAATAAGGAAGGCTTCACACTTCCATGTGAATAGGGAGGCATTAACAACTGCAAACCAAAAAAAAGCCCAACTATCTCTGGTTTTCTAAATACCACCAACTGCAGGAAGCAGGACTGTTACTTCATAGCCCACAGAAGCAATCTTTTCTCACCTGTCCTAGAACTTACATGAAGTATTCTGGTGGAACAATCGAAAATTTAGTGTTGTTCTTTTATTTGCCTAAAATATTTAAGCTCATGCATTTTCCTTGGATTTCTACTGTGGGAATTAACAGTGTATGCAGGAGTTTGGTCTGACTTAAGATTTAAAAAAAAACCACAATAAATTCCCTCTTCCCTGTAAATTCTGCTTTCTTAAACATCCCTGTGCAGAATGGCATGTCACTGTGGTAGATCACCATAAAAATGCAGGATTATGTTTCAACATACATTCCTTTACAGTCTCCATCTAGCTCTTGTTTTATGTTTGCCATCATCACTTTCCCCCTTTGTGTCTTACAAAGCAATTAATTTACCTTTCCTAGCTGTTTGTCCATAATAAAATCCAGAGTACTGAAGTCACAAAGAAACTGGAAAATAAATCAAAGGAACTTCTAATGTTTTTGAGTCATATCCATGTGGCTCACACGATTAAACCGATAAATCCAAAAGAGAGAATCACCATGCTCTTTCTCTTGACAATCTATCAATGATAATGACTGGACACATATGTCACAAGCACATGTCTCAGCACCTAGAAGGCTGCTGCTTCGACAAGGAAACAGTATCAAGCACTTACCTGATATAATTTGCTAAATTAGATTATACTGCCCCAGTGAAACACCATCTCTGTTGTACAGGCAAACAGATTTTGAAGCAATTCACAAAGTCTTTTATAAACTACATAACCCTACGAATTTACCTTTAAAATTTAGCCAGCCTCTTAGAAAAGCATAAACAGGTGAAGAACATGCTTACCTACTTACACCATTTGCTGAATCAGTATCATGTAAAAGGATGAACTGTATGTAATCCAAACAGTAGCTAATACACAAAAAAGTATTCTCACCACATAAAATTTGTATTCCAATACACTACTTAAGAGCTCAACTCGTCATGTAGCACACAGCTATCTTTAAAAACAGGTGAAACAAACAGTTGCAGGACTGATGGAAACACAGGGAAAGGCTGATTGTTTCAATTCAAAGAGAAACCGTAACACAGCAAAACCCAACTTTTCACTAAATGGCAACTGGTTTTAGTCCAAATGTTTAAAAAGTCCTTGCAGCAAGTATTTAGGTAGGGCTCGGATGACTCTGTCACTAGTTCATTAAGAACTATCACAAGATGTGTTCGATAATTCAGTAAATAGCATGAGCTGTTGGCAGAATGATGAAATACTGTGGGTGCGAGCTTCAGCCATCTGAGAAGTATAGTTAATCCTTTCAGACACACGCCCTGAAATACAGTAGGGTCAAAACTATAATTTGTTTCCTTCTCCCATCCCAATCATCAGGATTTTTTAAGGACAGATTTTATATCTATGGACAGTGTATGCTCAGCTAAAATAATGGATAATTCTCAAGGGGCTTAGTTTTTTCGTTTGGCTTCTAATGATACTATCAGAATGAAAGATACAATACAAATAAATCTTGATTTTAGATTTCTGGGTTATGTCAGCCTGCAGAGAAACGAATGCTATGCTCAGCACCTCCAAAACATCACACTAACAGTTTCTCCTACCTTCCACCTCCTGAAAAGGTCAAGAAAACTAACACACACAGTGGCTGCTAGCTTTTCTATGTTCTCTACACACCATGATTCCTCCCTGTAAAGGTGTCTCCAGAGTAGTTTCTGCTGGGAAGTTGCGGTGGCAAGGGCTCCAAGGAAGCTGCAAGGCCAAGAAGTGCTGGGGAAGCCAGGACCTCGAGGGCTTGGGGCTGAACAGCCTGTGTGTGTACACAAGCTGTCAGCCCAAGGGAAACCAGGGTAATCTCCATGAGGGGGACCTTGCTCAAAAAATGTCCTTTCCTCTGGAATTTCTGCTTCTCCTTTCCTGATTTTTCTTTTTTTTCATTATGCAATAACAAAAAGGAAAGCATACTGATTTGGTAAAGTGCTCTGAATAGTCCCCCAGTGGCTGGTCACAGTGATGACACTGAGCTATAAGAACACGCAAGATGACTCCAAAGGTCCAATACATGGAAGGTACTACACCTCTGCAAGAAGCATGTGGTATAGAACAAGCCTTGCAGTGCACGTGGCTCAGAAATGTTCCCTTGTTCTTCCCACTACAGCTCTTCCTTAATCTGCAGTCTGGGGAAGACTGCTCACTCCTCTCCTAGTCAGCCTGTTGGAAGGATCAACCCTGTCCCATCTCGCAGAAGCACACAGCTGTATAAGGGCAGGATCTTGTGCCTCTCATGTGCATTATCCAAGCCACTACAGAACCTTCTTTGGGAGATGAAGGCACACTGTACAAAAGACAGCCCGCAGTGTCTCTCTAATGATTTCCTGTTGTTAGCATAATGACACTGTTGTAAAAGTGGCCCATTTTCTGCCTTTAATAGATACCATTAGATACCCTTAGATAATTGTAGGTAATCACCACTAATCTTAATCAAGTTATGCAATAATTGTGATTGAAGTGACAGACTGTCCAATACTAAGGCTCTTCCTTGACCCATATACTGTAATTTGTCACACACTCTTAGTGATAGATTGGTTATTTTTCTGTCATGCCTCTCAAGTAAATAAACCCTATGAAAGCCATACTGTAACTTTAAAATGCACATATACTTAACTCTCAAAAAGTGTTATTAATAGCGCTGAAGAAAACAGACTGCTTACAGATGCATTTAAATTGATGACAATTACTCCACATTTTAAATAAAACAGGAAGCAAACTCTTCACTGGAAGATGCCATCCAGAGCATGAGTTTAACGCACTCTATTTATGCACACTCACTTTACCCTTTTAATTGATCAGCCTCTCTAGGGGTGTGGTTTCATGTTGCACTTAACCTGATCTTATTGCAGGGGCTGCTGAAAGGGGAGGTCCCATTCCCTTGTCCTCCCCTTGCTCCAGCATTGAGCGACTGCACAGAGTAAGTCAGATCAGCTTCCTGATCTGACCGAAAAATAAGGGCATTTTTGGTGGGTTAGCAATTCTGACCACTAAATGAGCTGATCCAAAGGATCCAAATCACTCTGCAGCCACACAATTGCTTCATGTCATACAAAGAAGACACAAAGCTGGAAAGGAGGAAAAAAACCCTGAACCTTGCTTTTCAGCAGCAGCTGGCAGTTGAATAGGTGAAGTACACATAAAACTGCTTCCTGAGGCTCTATTTCCCTGGCAGCCTAAATCATCACAATTCCCACTGTCTCAACCCCAGCTACACGTTCCTGCTACTCCTCCTGTCAGACTCCTCTACGATGACCCTACACACCAAGTTGACAGACAATTAAACCAATTAAAAAGTCCCCCCATCCCCTTTTTTCCCCATTCCTCCTCTACTGCCCTGGCTCTCATCTGTTCACACGGTAGGTAATGCACCCATCCTGCCCAGCGAAACAAAAAAAACAAAAAAACAAAAAACCAAAACCACCAAACAACCAAAACCATTCCTTTTTTGGTCAGGATTAATTTTCTGCTGTTCTGAACACAGAGTTAGCCCCAGGCATGCTGTCTAGACCGAGAGAGAAACAGAAAAGGGGACAGTGAGCAGCTGTTCATTTAGTTCAAAGGAGTAACATTAAAAACATAGGCTCTTGCCACTTCACTGTGAAGTCTGGTAACTTCATTTCAACCTACCTCCATCAGCTCTATGAACTACAGAGATGACATCTGCATTGCAACGGCTGAGATAACTTGGATGTTATGTCCTCTGCTCTGGGTATGGGGACACCAGCAGAAGTAATGAAGTATGTCATTTAGGGGCAATACGTTCAAAAACTACAGAGAAAGTTTTCCTAGAATGTGAACTCCACTGCCCTAAGAGAAAAATACAGCTTCACAGCCTTTCCTAAGCTAACTCAAAGCTTAGAGAAGTCTTAGGATTCATTTAAAGGTGGAAAAACTGTGGAGTCATTACAAAAGCTAATGTATTATAAAACTCTTACCACTGAAACAGGCTCCATGGCTTCTTGTTTGATAGGGACTGGGTCAAACATTAGCATTTTTTTATTTCCCTGTTCTGATGCCTCTGATGTCCTGGCCTGCAGGGGAAAGACAAGCTGTTAGAAAGCTACAGGAAATCCCCTAGGCAAATTCTGAACTGTAGAGAAAGTACTCTATTGTCAGACGAATGTATTTACCCATCTCTAAATAGCATCTTAAATATTTGGCTGGGCTTCATTTAAGTGTTTCTGTTGTTTGTTCTCTCAACTGCTATTGAAACAAGGGGACATCCACTCACCTTAATGGAAGTGAATTTGTATTTTTATTGTGCATGACAGCATACCAAGATCACAGAATTATCACTTTCACTAGTGTCAGTGTGTAAGGACTAATGCACAGTCTAGACTAGGCATTTCTCATCAGCATTACAACTTCAGAGCTATCTTACATAAACAAACTGAACTGACTCTCGAAAGGATAAGAGTTCAAATAGAGAAGCTGAAACTTTCACATACATTGACATTGAAATCAACACAAAAGAAAGATTAAAATCCAGGACTAACATACTGGAGAGGTAAATTCAACATGCTGCAATGACTTATCATAAAAAATACATCAGTTATTTCCCTGAGATAACAGATTTACTGACAATTCAGTAACAACTTGTGCTCACTGTGCAAAAGAAAAGCTCTCCAAAAGAGCTGGTTGTATTCTGTGCAGCTTTAACTGTTTTCTGTACACTGTGTTCAACCTCACTTGCCCAATTCTAGCTTATTTAAAAAAATAAGAAATACACAAATCAATTTTGACCAGTAGATGGCACTGGAAAGAAACGAATACAACCAGAGCACATCATCCAATTTCACCCTCTGGAAGCAGGCTACAGGCTCAACAGCAGATCTGTAGCTGTGGCTGGAAAACTCTTCCAGAAATTTAAATGAAAATTTCACGATGTACCTGCTCAAATTAAAACAATTCTAATAAGCCCGCACTAATGAACAATCTTACAATTAACAACCCTGTGTACTTGTAGATAAGAATTTGTTAAGAGCTGCCAGAGAAAGATGGCACGAGTTGTTACAAGTCTATCATTAATTATGCAGGTATACGAATAAAGCTTAAAGACTTTTGGAAACATATTACCACAGTGTACATTTTGAATAATGGAAACAAACAAGTATCACAAGTAAATTAAAGTATCCTCCTCCTTCTTTTTACAAAGGTCAAAGACCTGAGAGAACCAAACTGCGAAAAAAAAAGAAAAAGGTGAAACAAACCCAGCAACTCAATGCAATTTCTAGCTTAAAGTTAACACAGTTTTATTTTAGAAGCAGCTGAATAAGATGGCACTATTTGCTAAAAGTTTGATAATTTTGTAAATTTTTAATTTAATATTTTGTTTGAGAGCAGGTCATTGATTATACTGTGTTTCTTTGAACGGTTGATTTTACAGGTTTTTAATGCTTCACATAGCTTGAACTAATGTTTCAGAAGACTGTCTTCCCAGAAATACATCCACGTATCTACACATGAAATACACTTCACACATGTTCCTACATATATATATATATATGCATTGTGGAAACAGGAAAGAAGTTATCCTTTCAGACATAAAAACATTTACAGTAAAACGTAGCTTCTCAGAATTTGGAATCACTTGCTTTCAGGTTTCCAGAAAGTTCCAATGTTCAGTTTGTATGTGCATAGATAAAGTGACATACCAATCTGTACTTTAGTGAAGGAAGAGGTGAAAGAACAGAGGAAAAAAAAAAAGGAGAAGAGAGGAAAGAAAGAGAAGGAAAGAAAAAGAAGGAAGGAGTTTGTTCTACATAAGCAGTCATGCTCCAGGCTATTCTTTTTGCCATTGCTGTTTCAAGATTTATTTTCTTCAGCTTAAGTTACTCCGTTTCACCTTTTACTCCAAAGCAAGTGTATGAAAGACAGTTGATACACATTTCAATGTCATGCTACACATTTGAGTGTTTCCTGAGAGAGCTCTAAATTACTGTGTAGGAGTTAGACTGACACAGATAACAAAGTGTTCTGCACGAAATGTGAAAAGTAATTCCCAGTCTTTCTCAGGTGTAGTCATTGAAGAACAGCAAAAGAAAATGTTAACTTTTATCGCTGCATCATAGTACAGAAATCTAGCACTTCTTTATCATGTTACTTTTAAGCATTTCTTTTCGCCATTGATAGAGACTGGAAACCAATTTTCAAGAACGCAAAAATAATTAATATGCAATGTTGGTCCAGAGCAGAGGGTCAGATTCTTATTTGGTGGAAACCAGTGGAGTTGCTCTAGAGTCACTATAAACCAGCTTTGGGTCTGGCATTTAAGGTTTAGCTCAGAAATACACTTCCCGAAGGCTGCAAACAAACTCACAAAACAATTCTCTTTGTATTTAAAAATAATGCTCCGAATTGATTGCTTGGACCACACTCACAAGTAACGACATGCAACCCCCATGCACACACAAATAAAACATGCTAATTCTACTAAGTTGTCAGTAGTTTTTCCTAGGCTATTTGTAAAATCATGCCTACTAACACAAAACCTCCCAGCTCTCTCTCCTAAACATCTGAGAAGGGGGCAACACGGAAGGTAAACAGTCTTATCTGTTTCTACTAGAGAGGAATGAAAAAACAGTTGGGTTCTACTTTACACACTGATTTCACAATGTACTTGTTTGGAAGCCCACAAATTGTTTAGTAAATACAACTAATTTCTGGAAAATCAAAATAACCAAATCTCATTCCTGAGGTACCCTGGGAAAAACAGTGAGGGGACACCACCACATTCATTTTAAATAGATGAAAAAATAAGGCCTTTGTCTTTCATGTTATTAGATAAACTGTTCTGCATTAAAGGGCTTTTTTCATGTGGGTTAGAAGAATTTAAAATGCATGCAATCTGAAACTAAATAATTAACTACAATCTGGTAGGCAAACATTCCACCCTCTCTTTTTTTGCTCTCCCTCTCTTTTTCTGCTAACAAGCCACCCAGTTTTACTTTCTTGCCTCCTCCCATTCACTCCACCCTGTGGATCTCTGCCAAGTCAGCCCAACTTGTCCAAACAGGACATGGCTTTTGATAAAATTTTGCTCACACCCTGTACTTCAGAAAGACAAATGAAGCAATTGGGTTTTGTATGCAAATAAGGACAGGTGCAAGGTGAAGTCCAGGCAGAGTCCTTCACTGTTTTCCTAAGTCCAGTGAAGACAGCCAGAAAAAACACAAACTCTGCCTTTATGATCCAATATCCAAGGGAAGAATCCCTTCCAAAAGGAAAGTTCAGCACTGGTAGGCTCATCGCCTTACCAGGATTGAAGAGTTCGTGATATTAACTTCCTAACAGCTATGGTTTACTGTTTCAGAGACATAATTAAGAGTAAATGAAAGCTTAAAGGTACTCAAGGTGTATTCTGACAGTAAGGACTTGTACATATTATTTACCCTGGATGAAACAAGCAAGCGGTTAAAGAATGGAGCCAGACTACACATCTACACTGCAGAGCAGCTGGAGAAGCGCAACCGCACCGCAGCTACTCCCGACAGCTTCATACATCTATCTTCAAAGGTCCACCAACTCCGTAAACCTGTTATGAAAGGATGGGGTGAAGAACTAGTTTTGACCGTGCACATCCAACAACTATAAAGCCTCCCTCTGACATAGAGCTTTTGCTCTCATTAAGTACTTGGAAGAGTAGTCAGTGTCCTGACTCTTGTTGCGGACAGCAGGGTGGTGACCATAAATTCTGCCTCTCTTCACTCTGCACAAAAGCATGCACGGGGCTTGCTTTCTCAGTCTTTGTGCCTGGGGGAAGCAAGTAATGCTGCCTCGTGGTACAGTGAGGCTTTGTCTAGAAGCTTCAAGGTATGATTGTTATTGTTTGTATAATTACAGAATAATGTAATGATATCTACTAAATTAACACTGCTTGAGTGCCTTCTGCAAAGACACGGCAGCTCTCACAGCACTGTTGGTACCTAGCAGCCAACGTAAGTCATGTGGCCAAAGCTCTTCAGTCCAAGACCTTTGGGACTTAGGCTGTTGCTCTAATACTATGCTCTAATACTATGGAGCTCTAATACCTGGAGTCAAACTTCCCCTGATAATGAGAATTACAACATCAGAAGACTCTACACTGATGAAATCCAGAGGGTGGGGAGGTTTTCTGAACCTACGTGAAAAGTCTTCTTCAGTGCAAACTTGAAAGAGAGTTTGACTGAGAAAAACTAAGTTTTTGAGAGCAATGGCACAAAAAGTGTTTTCCAGGGCTAGTAACAAGCTGTGTTCGCACTTACTGTACCAGTTGTTCATCAAGACCTGAATCAGCATAAAAGTGTTTCTAAAGTTTCATTAACTTTAATGGGAAGTAAGCAAGCGCTTAACTGCAATGGGCCCCAAAAATAGCAGCCAGCAAAGAAACTCTCCAGCTTAGCACAGCAGTCAGACTCAGCCAAAACAAGAGCAGGGGAAGGAGAAAAGGCCCAGACACACTTCTGGGGCAAGGGACCGCAGCAGCCAGCCTATGAAGAACCAGTCAGTGGGAGAATCATGAAGAACTAGTACATCAAGGAACCGTTTCACTGATCGGCAGCCTTCTGTGTTTATTCGCTGGATTTCCACTGGGAAACGGTAATAACAGTTGAAAAACTCAGGATATCATGTAAAAAGAAACTTTTAACATGGGCAAAATTCTGCTGCTGGAAGTTTTACTCGATAGGCATGAAGAAAAATCATATTTGTATAGGATTCTGTTATTCAGTCTGAGGCTATTTTGCTTTTTACTAACTTGAAAATCTTTTGCCTTTTTCCTGTCAGAACTGCAAGCAGGTTGAAAAATCTGGGCTTTTTTGCACAACTTGGGCATCGTAACTTTGCTGACTTCACCTTGACCTAGAACTGCTTTGACACAATAATTTATCAGCTGTGGAGCAGACTAATCAGTATGTCCATTAAATTTACAATACTGTTGCAGGTTCTTTGAAGCCACGTGCCTGGAAATGGCTTTCTTGTATGTAAAACTTGGGGCAAAAATGTTCTTGTAGTGCTCATTAAGAAAATGTCTTCTCTGTTAAGGAAAAATGGGGCCCATGTAAACCCTGTTCAACCTTCACTTCTACATTTACTGAGCCTATGGGAGAGAGAAAGAAAAGCTCGAGGCACCTCCATTAGACAATATTCTCCCTTATCACGACAGACTGCTGTCTGGTTTCCTGTCTCAGGCTACTTCTTAGAAGGAGAAACAGTCTAGTAAGGATAAAAGATCAGACTTTTTAAAACAAGTGAAGTATGCAGAATGGTATGATAATCTTTCCCTTCCAAACTGAACTTTTTTTGTTGTGCTTCTCTCAAGAAGTTAATTTTGAAGGTAATTTAAAAATATAAATATAAACCCTATATTTTTATTACGAGGGAAAAATGACAGAAAATACTGTTCTCTCATGTAAAGGGTTCTGCTATATCATGAACCATGAAACAGAAAATTAATATTTCTGATAGTATGGGGAAGAAGGAAAAAAAAATAATCCTAAATAAAGGAAGTACACATTTATGAATAATAGCCTAAAGGATTAATTTGACTGAGAGTCTGAATACAGGGCAAATGTTGATGTACCTAGATCAACATGTAGGTACCTTCTATGTACCTACAAAAGTTGAATAAATAAAAACAGGGAGAAGAGCTGGATGGTGTAGTAGGTACAAATCAGGCAGTCTTCAAAGCTGCTTAGTGGAAAGTCTGTCATGCCTCTGTGGCTCAAGTTAGTCTGTTGGTAACACATGCTGACTGCATGACAGGCAGACCATACGTTTGGTGGGTTCTTTTCTTTCCATTCTGACTTAGTTTACTATTAAAAACCTGTTAAAGTTTTATCTTTCCATTTGGCTGATCTACACTTACACTTCCTTCCCCTGGGAGATACCAACTGTGGCTACAAAACCCTCAAAGGAAGCCTAGGCATCAAGTGAATGCTGAAGAGGGAAGGGTTAAATCTCTTGTAAAACCAGCTCTGCCAAACTTCATATTCTGGATTGGAAGCAGCTAGCCTCAGAATGAAAACACAAAGCTTCAATGCTGCCAGCATAAAAGAACTCTAAAAGGCCTCCTGTTAGCCGTGTTAATTAATATTAAAAAGTTGGTTTACAAAACTATTATAGTTTTAATCACAGTCCCTGATTTTGTAGAACTTCAGGCTACAAAAAGGTGAGAACCACAAAATTCACTGCATTTATTATACACCAGTTTCCAATATTAAAGACAGTTAAATTCAACACTTTTCCTCTGTCATGGAGAAAAAAATATTAAGTATGTCTGAAATCCTGTGCAAATTACCAGTACTGGAATTAAGATATTTAATCAGGTTTTAATGGATAAACTAATCCATGGTATTAGAAAAAAACAACTAAGTAAAAATAACCGAGAGTGACAAATGAAAATAATCAATAAATAACTTACCAAAACTGTGTGGCCAAATACTTCTTGCTATCTGGACTTCTGAATAGACAAAAAAACAAGTTGATGTAAGGATGTGCACATAATTCAGTAAAAATTATTTTTCACATACAAGCAACTCCAGAAAGAGGAAGTTTAAAGCATGTAGTTCAAATATTTCTTAAAAGATACCTGCAATAATCACAAACAGCTAACTTTTAGCATCCAAAAAAAGCAACAGCAGGAACAAAAAAATTACTTTAAAAATGTAATCTTTTATTTCAGTCATTTAAGGATGACTGAAATAAAAAAAATGGGCAAAATGAAAGTGTGGAAATATTTCTGTGTATACAGAAACCATGCATATCCCAGCCCCTAAGTGACAGAGAAGAATAAGCACTCCATCTTGCATTTTCATTCAGGGCCAGATTCAAGCCCACTGAAGCTAATTCAAATCTTTCTCTTGATTTCAGTGAGCTTTGGCTTAGGTCTTCTAGCTCTTCTTCTGTCAGATCCAAAGCAACAGAAAGATTTATGCTCTCTTCCTGAATTTCCTCTCAGTGTTTATGTCTGCCTGCAACAGGGTCACGGGAAAAGACAAATATAAAAACAGGAGTAAAAAAAATATTTTTATGCCTTCAAAAATGCAAAACGTGGGACAACCATACCTATTTATTCCAAAGAAAAGTTAGCCAGCAGTGCCTCATTTTCTGTATTATATCTGGAAGACAGTAAATCTTCTAGTTTGTATAAGAAGAAAATACCTATTCCTTTTGAGATCTGGAAATACAAAGTGCTTATGGTGGGCCATTCAGGCTGGGTAATGTCAGGAGCCAAAACTCTTACACGTATGAGCCTACACAAGGATGTGGATTCTCTTCTCATACTCTTTTTACATCAGTGTAACTCTGTGACTTTAATGGAGCAATTCCAGATCAGCTGATGAGCAAGTGAGAGCAGAGAACTGGCTCACAACTTTCTGGGGACTTGAGTAGAAGTTTTCAGCGAAGCTCTCTAGTTCACCCCATAACTGTACTGGAGTCCAGGGTGTGCGTTAAAGGTTAACTTGGAAACCTCGTTATGACATAACGCAGGCATCTTAAGCAATCATGAGTGTGTAGAGACATGATAACTCATTGGGTGGGGATTGGGAGTTGAGGGGCAGTGACAAGGGGCCTGAACGAGGCTACTGATCTGCCAGAAAACAGCCTGAAACAGGAAAGAGCACCACATATGCCACTTGGAATGTGTGACGCAAACCCCAGCCTTGAAACAAAGAACAGGAAACAGCTCTGCTGGCTGCGCTGGGGAGAAAGCACAGAGAAACATTTAGGCGGCCCTCCCTGACCCTATATTCATGAGCAGCTGGAGTCTTTTAAAACAACAACAGTGGGTGGAGGTGTTTGTTCATTGGGTGTGAATAAAAACACTGTCCTTATGCAGGGGACCTGCCCTATTTACAAACAGGCTCCCTTAACATAGGGCAGCAGGAGATTTTTAGACACCACTGGTCATGATGATTAGCTGAAACCTTCCCTGAGACAAGCTGGTTTATTACTGTGTTGTACAGAATGCAGAAGCTAAACAGAGCGACAGCTTCATGACATCAAAGAGGCAGCACACAGCTGGACAGCGAGCATCTTCTTCACAGACAGAGCCAAGGTGATCAGACCAGTGCAGGAGTTACCTGTAAAGCTAGGGGCTGCTCCTAGACCATGTCTCACTTTGTGTTCAGCACTGCTCAGTAGCTGAGGACCAACATTACTCAGTGCACTCATGAATATTTTTCTAACCCATCACATGCTTAGCCTTCTACATCCCTGTTTCATGCTAACTCAGACTTCATCTTAGGACCTGATTTTCCATGGACAGAATGTTTTTAATTTTGAAGCACCCAAATACAGAGGTGAATAAATGAAATAGCTGTCAATGTGAGGCAGGGAAAAAGCACATCTTGTCTAGATGTCATACAACAGAGTAACTTCAATATCCATTTTCCTTCAAAGCTGTTATTTCAAATATTCTCTCCTCTTACATACTTTGCATTGTTTATTTACATACCATGGATGAGACATCTAATATTATCCAATGCGAGAATGTGTTACAGCAAATTATGTGGACAAGTACCACAGTAACACTAATAATTGCTATGGGGTTCATGGCTGGAGTTTAACAATGCGCATGAGGTGACAACTGACTAGTAGAGCATCTATACAGCAACATGTGGGTATAGGTTTTATGCTGACTTATCAGCTCCTTACTCTCTTCACATTGAGTATCTAGAAATATAAGTAATTTGGTGGTTGTGTAACTCCGACCTCTATTATCTCTATGCCTCTGACTAATCTCACTCACATTTACCTAATTATTTACCTGAAGACTCTTGGTTTTGGCTTAAACATGTGTTGCCTGGGTCAACTCCTCACAGTACCTAAGGGCTCACTTGCAGCTCTGCTACTTAGGAGATTTTTCTCCATTTCTCAGGGAAGTGAGAGACATCAGTTAGTATCTTTGTTTTCTCCCCCTTGCCCTTAACCCCAGTCTTCCTTGAGGTGTAGGACACAGCAGTAATAGGGTGTGCGGGGTGGGGGGAAGGGAAGCATGTGCCTGCTTGGGAAAAAATATAAAAAATCCACTCAAGTCAGCTTCAGTTTTTTTGTATTTTGATACTAGACAAAATATTCTTAAAAATACAAGAGGAAAGTTAGTTTGAAATAAGTCTCTTCTGGGTCAGGCAGGAATATCAAATCCAGATGTGATTCCTCTCACACAAGCAGCAGCTCCTCATGCGATTATCAAGACAGTGTATCTCAAAAGTATTCTATAGAAAAGTCACCAGAGAGCAGCTGAGTAATCCTTTGTTTTCAATACAAGTAATGAACGTTTATGGATGTTAGTTCAAATAAAGTCAAGTCTTCAGAGCTGTCCTATCAGCCACCCGAACTCAGGTTTCCCAACAATAAAACCTTCAAAGTTCAGCTCCACAAATAGCAACACTTCCTGAGTTTTCAAAGGTGAGGAAGCAAACAGAACACAGCAGACAGTGCAGGTACAGTAGCTAAATCACCAGGGGAGCAAATGTGATGTATTTTTTTTTCATGTACTTCTTGAATGACCGCTTGAGCTATTCTGAGATAGGCCTTTCTCCCAACTTCAGCTTAGGTGCTGTGATCTGTCAGCATGGGCTTCTGCTGCTGAACCTTCCTTTTCCAGGGATCCCCTAGCTGTGCCAGGCACTCACAAATGTCTGAAGCAAGTAACTCCTATTCCCATTTCGGGTTAAAAACAAAGAAACAAAAATACCAAAAGCAAAAGCCCAAACGGCACCCAGAAAAGGGAAGCTAATTACGGTCGTTTCCAACTCCACGCTAAAGTGGAGTTAGCCGTGCTGTCCTAGGCGCTATGCATTTTACCGTCGCCTGCCCCATCGAAGTGGTGCTTAGGTTAGATGTCAGTACGAGAGGCAGATTTTTGAGAGGCGATCTCATCCTCGACTTGACTCATCCTTGACCGAGAGTTAAACTGGGGACACGGCGCCGCCGGACACCTTCGCACCGCTGGTGGGACACGGCCAAGAGGCGAACTTCTGCCCTGGCATCCTCGCCGCCCTCGGGCACCCGCTATACTTTCCACCTCAGTTTCGTCCAGCACGACATCCCGTGCGGGATCCGATGACACTTCAGCCCCTACCTGAAGACGAGCCTGTCACACCCGGCGGGAGGCCGGGGGCCGCGGCCGCGCTCAGCTGGCCCCGAGGGACGGGCGGCGCGCAGGCCCTCCCGCCAGGGGCCGGCGGTCAGGAGGCCCCAGGCGCCCCGGCCGGGGAGGGAGAGCGGCCGGCGGTGGAAGGTGCCGCGAGGGGGGGCAGCCCCGGCCCTGAGCGGCGCCGCCGGCCACACAGGTGCGCTGCTCGCCTGAGCGGGCGCAGGACAGCAGCTGCCACCCCCTTGCTCCGGCCGCCTCACCGCGTCGGCGGCCACGCAGGAAGTTTCACAGGCACCGCGGAGAGAGAACCCCGCTGTGAGTCCCTGCACCCGTCCTGCTCCCCGCAGCTGCGGCCCGACGGACACCCTGTCCCCGCCGCCCCCCAGTCCGGCTGCGGCTCCCGCTCCTCCGGCTGCGCCCCGCTCCCCGATGCCCTGAGCTCCGCGCCGCTCGGAGCGCGTGGAAACTTTCCTCCTCCGGTACCTCCATCCCGCAGCCGGCACAGCCCGGCCCCTCGGCCGTTCCCCCGCGCCCCCCCAGCTCCTCACACTTACGCTCAGCGGGTGGTGCGGTGCGGAGACTCCCGCAGCGCTGGGGGTCGCGCTGGGTGGCGGGGCTGGGGGCGCTCCGGAAGCACCGAGGCACGAGGCCGGCGTGTCCCGAGTCCCCGCGGCTGAAGCGCCTCCGCGGTGGCTCCTGGTCTGTGTGCGAGGAGGAGCCGCCCGCCGCCCTGCCTCCCGCCCTCCGCCCGCCCGCTCGCCTGCCTTCCCCTCGGGCTGCTGGCACCGGGCCGCGCTGTCACATGACGCCGGCGCCGCTCGCCCTGCCAGGCTCCCCGGGCCGGCGGGGTGAGTAGCGGTGGGAGGGTCACGGCGGGGAGCGCGGCCGGGCGGTTCCCCGCCCGCGGGTGGAGGCTCCGCCGAGGGGCCGGGGCGAGTCACAGCGCACAAACAGCCGGGCACGCACTGACTCCGCGCAGCCCGCCCTGCCTCCCGGGGGCAGACAGACTAGCACACATACTAATTATCCCCAGCAGCGCGGGGAGGGGAGAGGAGCGGGGCCGCCGCCGCCCCCCAGACAAACCTGCCCGTCCAGCTCCTCCTCCCCTCCCGTGTGTCAGGCAGAGGCGTGCGCCTGGCACCCGGCCCTGATCGCACCCCTTCCCCTCCCTCCCTCCGCGTCCACCCGGGCCGACCTGCGGCGGCGGCAGCAAAACAACAGCAACACCCAGCGCCCGGGGGGAAGGAAGGGAGGTGCTCGCTCTGGGGCGCTGCCGCCGAGCTGGCTTCGCCGGCGGGGGCTGGGAAAGGGAGCGGGGCTGCGCGGAGCTGGGCGGCTGTTCCCCCGGCCGTGCCGCCCCGGGGCTGCCCGCGCCGCGCCCCGTCGCGCCGGGGAGGTGTCGGGGCCGGGCCTCGGCCGGGCGAGGCTAGGCGAGCGAGGGCGAGGCACCGCGGTGCGGGCCGGCGGCTGGAGCGGAGGTGCCTGCGCGCCTCCTCCCCGGCTTGGCGGCTCGCCCGCTCCGGCCGCCGGGACTGGGACTGAGGCCCACGCCGGGGGGGTTACGGTTGTGATCAGCCCGTCGTGCCCGGGTGCGCTCCCGCCTCCCGCCGGGGAGAGGCTCCGCACGGGAGGGAAGGGGACAGGAGGGGAGAGGCACTGCCAGCTCCGCTCGCCTCGGCCCCCCGGAGGAGGAGGCGGTGTCCCGGGCTCTGGGCCGGCCCCTCGCGGCTCCCCCGCTTGCCCAGCGCCGCGGCTGGCACCTTGGCAGGTGTGTTGTGTGTGTCCGTCCCAGTACTCCCTCTCCCCGGGTTCCGCTGGCAGCTGGAGCGGGGCAGCGGCGGCCTCCTTGGGGGGTGGCTGGGCCGAGGAGGCACGGCCCGGCCCCGCGGCACGGTTCGCTGCGCTCCCGAGGCGCAGGCTCTCCGGACACGCCGTGGCGGTGGGGTGGCTCAGCTTGTCCAAGGCTGCGCTTGCTGCTCGACATGGAGTTTCTACCGCCTGTGAAACGGAGCTGCTTATCTTCGTACCCACTGTACACCGGGGGAATTCACTCGGAGAAATGCTTTATTAAAACCCCCAAACATCCTGCCCTACTGTCTCAAACACCCGTGGTTAGGGAAAGGTGATGGCACCAATTCACTGTATTGTGCTTACAGTTGTTACAGTGTGCCATATACAGTGATGTCCTTTCCTGACTGATACATGGTACCTGAAAAGGACACCAAGGAAGAGGCACAATGCTGTACTTGGCAAGGCTCTGTCCTGCAGCACAAACTGTGGACAGATGAAAAGCCAGCAGTGATGCTTGTGGATGGTGGAGAGGTCATCCTTTAGGGCTCCAGTTACATGCTTCCTCTCGTGGGTAAAGTCAGTAGTAGGTGCTGAGCATCTCTAGCTTCATAGGCTGTGTCTGTGTATTTAACTGCCTGAAGAGTACCCTAATGTAACATACCTTTCTCCTTTTTTTGCATTTTTGAGTCAAAATTTATATTCTCTTTCATTATGATTAGCCCAGTGAATAGTGCTATTAAAGCAAAACAGAGAAGGTGGAAGGACCAGGGAAGTGATTTCCAGCACGGTGCTGTGTGCAGGCACATGTTTGGTCTATGTCTTTATTTCTAGGATGTTTTAATGCTTCCCTTGACTGTAGGCTGAAGTTTGTATGGCTTCAAAAAGCAAAGTAAGACACCAGTCTGAAGCCCTGAAGGGTATGACTCAATGACATAACAATAAATTGTAGTATCTCCTGCTAAGTAATTGCACCATATCATGTCACAACAAGGTATTGTTGAAATACTATCGTGTAGCTCATAAAGTGTCATTTTTTTATTATAAGCCTATAAAATAAACAAAATTGCTGTGTTAGAACATACAGACACAAAACATTTCACTGGGTCTGTGAAAAGGAGATGCTGCAGTGTTCTTGCATGAACATGCTCAAGATAAGGTGGCTGTGTCCCAGTTTTGCATTCTTTCACTCTGGAAACTAGCAAAGGTTCCACAGCTAACTAGAAGCCTTAGGTCAGAGGCAGAGCTGTTTTGATGTCAAACAATGAGAAATGCCAAAATATTTAGTAGTAGCTATCGTGCTGCTTCTGGTGATTTCTCCAAGTTTTCCTGTTAACTGTTACCTAGTTCTGGCCTCAGATGAACCTGTTCTAATCCAGTGTAATTTTACTGTCTTCTTGTGAAGTCACTTTGAATTTGTATTGGCAAATGCGAGGAAAGGGAAGGTTGTGAATGATGCTTTTGCGGTGCCAAGCACGCCTGTACACCTGTCAGTGTTTCGTTGGCTTCCTGTGCTTGGTTTTCATACTTTAAGAAGTAAAATATTTGCAAGGATGTTCAAATTCTGTAGGGAGCAGAATCTCATTGATTTTAATAGGAATTGAAAATCCTGGAGGGAGAAGCTGGGAACACAGGGAGTCCTTGCCATCTGGTTAGCAGACCCAGCAGTTTTAACCAGGTCTGGAAGTGTTTCTAGATCAAAGGGCTAGCTGATGGCAGCCCTTAACATCTTTCAGCCCAACACCTCCTCCATTTCTGCTCTGCCCATCATCCCTGCAGCATCTCAAATGTTGATGTGCCGAATGACTTCTTTCTCAAAACAGAAGGAAGAAAAGTGGTATGCAAGTCCTTGGTATTGAAAGAATAAAGGATATTGCTTGGCTGTCCTTTGTTTTGTAGCACATGGCATGAGCCCTTGCCATGAGATGGAGTGTTTGATGTGATGGGGACCGGAGGATCTGCACTCTCAGCCAGGGAGTGTGTTGGCACACACAAATTTCTGGTATAAGCAGACAGGAGACAGTACATAGAGTGGGTGGAGGGGAGTATATAGATCTTTGGCATGAACAAATTGGTATTAAAATAATAAATGAAAAGGTTTAATATATTCAGTTGTCTGTTAAAGGACCAAATACAGCCATGATGAATTGAACAATCAGCTGTATTACCACTGCGATGAATGTGACTTAAGGTGTACACAAATTTATAGCTTTTAAATGTCAAAAACGTATTCTGCTTTCCAAAAATCAGTTAAAAATTAAAGAAGTAGTTAAGAATTTCGTGTATTTTTTCAGTCCTCCGTTCAAGTTATGGGGTGAAGTTGGAGTGGTTTGCTAGCGTTAAGATGGCATTTCTTCCAAGTTGCTATGCATTACAAAATATACTATATAGTTAGTGAGTGGTATTTATGCAGTGAAAATGTCCACTGGAATCAGTGGGCTTTTCCCTTAGTCCACGGATAGAGGGTAATGCCTGGACACGTTTGAGTTATTTGGAGATCCATGTATACACTTACTGTCTTGTGCAGATTTTCAGGTCAGATAGTCACCTCATGCATCTGGTGCTCACTGAACTGCTTCTGGAATGAATGAGAGAGAGGTCATCACATAGCCAGCAATATTCATTATTTTTGTTAAACACGGTTCACATCTTGGAAGCACCATAAATTTCACATTTCAAATGGTACTTACTTATTGCACCCCAAATGTTTAATCTCAGCAATACAGTGACGATACAGGCCAGTGTTGTAATTCCAAGTTTTTAGAAATGTGGAAGTTGAGACAGTAGGAGTTTAAATAGGAATTTCAATGATTTGGAAGCTTAGGTGTGTCTATGCTGCAGTCACAGACATACTTGAGCTGGTTTTAAACGAGTCAACTGGGGAGCTGGTGCCAATCCAGCTCTGGCAGCGGGGAACTCAGAGCTAGCTGGAAAACATGCCCAAAAACCTGGGTAAATACTTAAGTGGTTAGGCTGGCCTGAACTCAGCGGCTAGACTACTCCTGGTGCCGAAGCTAGCTAATTTAAAGCTTGCCCAGCTATGTTTATGTGGTATTGCAGTCCCATCACTTGTGACTATAGCATAGACATACCCTCCTGAGAATTCTGTGACTCAGCCCAGTCTTTTGGCAGACAATTCCCCTGCTGTTCTGGGAGCTCTGTGGGTAGTGTCAACTCTCTAGTCCCCAGGAAAGGCTTTTGCAGGTATTCAAAACCTTACAGTACCACATAAGATGTGCTTTTAATTGCACTGGATCTTCCCTCATTGAACAGTGGGCTCTCATCTTGTAGCCACTCGGCACATGAGCAACCTGTGAGTCAACGTGTGTGTTTGCATAATTGGGACCTTGTTGTTTGCTGGAAGGAAGGGCAAGGCAGTGGCGAGCTGCCAGGCTCTGCAGCTCTGTTGCTCAGGTGCGGGCAAGAGGAAACCACTGGCAGAACTTAGGCAGAGCTGGTATTGAGGTGCATGGGGCCTAGGGCAGAGGCGGATGCGTGAGCTCCTCCCTGCCTCCCGCCTGCCCGCACGCTGGATGATGAGTGGACCATGTTCCTCCTCCCTGCCTGCCCCTTCCCATGGCCCGAGGACCAAGACAATTGCTGTAGCTCCTCACCCCTGAAATGAATTCTCATTTTGTGCAGAAACAAATTTCAGATGCCACAACACAAGGCTCTTGTGTTCCCAGCCTCACACAAGGAAAGGATGGACGGCTGCTCTTTCTGCTTAAAAACCACTGAGTTGCACATGACTGCTTTTAGTAAAAAAACAGCCCTCTGAGAGTCAGCCCTTAACCTCACTGCAGCCATCAGAATTACAGTGGCAACATCTGGGGACTGGGGTGTGCGTGTGTTGAATTTCGTGTTACAAGTTGAT